AAACCAATTTGTTTCCTATCGTAGTTAGGAAACACCCTGTATATCTGCGAGCGAAGCGTCGATACGAAATTTATTATCAACTATTCACCTACTTTAACGCCCGCTGTACCTCTTTATTACCCTAGAGCGGTAAAGTGAATACAAAAACTAGTAAAAATTAATAAAGAACTGGAACTTGATGTCAACTGAGACATTATCCGATATAATGAAATTACTTGAATCATTCCCTGCAAAATTATATTTTCACAATTCTCAATGGGATTTGTATTCTGGAGAAAATGTGCTTATCACTGATAATGAAACTATGTATCGAAAAAAAAATACTAACATATCAGTATGATAAAAAGGGTGATCGAAAATTGAAGCTATACAGGGTGTTTCACAGGTAAAGGGAAATATTTCAATGGTAGATAGGGGTCACCAAGGTGGTTCTGAAAATACCATATTTCATAGGTCTTAGAATCTTCGTAACGGAGATACAGGGCGATTTATCGATATCGAATAATTATTCATTTGTCCATAAGTATTGAACTATCCAGTATATTTTTCTAATATTTGGTATGGAGCTTATACTTGGGACGTTGAATTCATTCCCCTATCGGGCGAAGTCAAAATCCAGGTTGGGCTTCAGGAAAAAATTACATTTTTATTCGAAATATTAAAATAACATCGAAAATTGAAGCTATACAGGGTGTTTCACAGGTAAAGGGAAATATTTCAATGGTAGATAGGGGTCACCAAGGTGGTTCTGAAAATACCATATTTGATAGGTCTTAGAATCTTCATAGCGGAGATACAGGGCGATTAATCGATTTCGAATAATTATTCATTCGTCTATATGTATCGACCTACCCAGTAAATTTTTCTCAAATTCAGTGAAGAGCTTATACTTGGGACGTTAAATTCATTCACCTATAGGGCGGAGTGAAAATCCAGGTTCGGCTTCAGGAAAAATTTTCATTTGTTCGAAATATTAAAATAATTAACACAGTACATCAAAAGAATTGTGAAGAAGAGGAAAAACTCAATAGGGTATGATGCTTCTTGTTTTCCCGCCACCAATTCTCATCGTAAAAATTATAAACAGAAAGTTGAAAGTATGTCAATTTGAAGATTATTGAAATTATGAAACCACTTTCAATTATGATAACATTGTAATGACATTTTGTATGGATGTTTCTTGAAATCTGACACATCGCATGAATTTGTTATTTTATCTGACTATCATAGAGGGCGCTAGTTACACGGTTCGTACCGAATAGTTTTGAACATAACTTTTTTGATGATATGATATGAACTTGAACATCATTCAATTTTACACCAAAAAGGTACTCCTAGTGAAACTCGATACTATATGTCCCGTTTTCGGAATATTTCGATTTGAAAATAATGGAGTAGTAATGATGCTGGTATAAAATGAATTTTATTGAGTTCAATTACCATCTATTCAGGTTCAAAATCAATAAAATTATTCTTGTGCTGAAGTTATTGATGGAACAAAGAATCATAAGTAAAAAATTAAGAGATATTTGACTAGAAACATGAAATATTGAATCAGTTAGAGTAAATGTTCAAAATGTCCTACGCTTCGAGGAATACACAATTCTATATTCTTTTTTTAAGAATGTATTATCCTCCTGAACGTTTCCATGAAAACATTCCCAAAACATTGTGTTTGTCATGATAATTGATCCTCAGGCACTGAAATCAATCACTGTATGCTGTTTTGCGCGAAGCATATTTACTAAATAATTAGAAATGAAATTATTCTTCATATTGACAACGTTCTCATACCACTGGTTACTGAAGCTAAGAATCTTGGACTGATAATGGATATTGAGTTCAAGTTTACGAGCCAGGTAAATAATTTAGTAAAAAAATCATATCTGTCACTAAAACTCCTTTTTGTAAATAAAAATATTTTGAATTTTTCCCTAAGACAGAAACTGTGTGAAACTATCGTCTTGCCAATTCTTCAGTATTGTCTTATAATTTTTTATCCTCATCTAGACTCAGTTACTAAGACAAGATTGCAAAAAATACAAAATACCTGTTGTCGTTTCATCTATGGTCTCAGAAAATTTGATCATATCAGTCACTGTTTTCGTGCACTCAGATGGCTAAATATTGAGTTTCTGTGGAAATATCATTGTCTTATTTTTGTTCATCGTTTGCTGATTACGTCAATTCCAATCTATTTAAGAAACAAATCAATATTTCGTAACCAACAACATAATGTGAATGTAAGAGTTAACAACACATTGGATATACCACGCCATTCGACAGCTTTGTACCAGAAATCTTTTTCTTATAATGATGTGAAATTGTACAATTCACTTGATTCCTCTTTCAAAATTAATGTTATTCATTCCTTCAAGAAACGCCATGAATTACATTTATTGCTCGAACAAAATGCCATTTGAAATTAAACTATATTCAATTACATTCATTCATTATAGAAAAATTGAATAATTGCAAGTCATCTGCACTTAGTGATTAAAGTATGTTAAGTTTATATATTATGTATTATAAATGTGCAGGGTTAGGTGTAAGAGTAGCCATGATGGCTAAACTTCGCTCTGCCAAATGTTTGTATAAACATTAAATCAAATAAAGACGTTTATTATCATTATTATTATTATTATTATTATTATAATGCCTAGTTGCATAATAGAACTTTTCTTTCAAGAAGAACGAGTTAAATTCTTGAACTAGAAATAGGAAGGCCAATTTCAGTGCCTCGAGAACAATTTTTATCACAAACTCAATGCTTTGCAGTTATTTCCATAAGTTGAGACACTTTTTGCCAAAAAAATATCTGCAGCCACTTTTCAAAAACACCTTGTACTTTCCCTTTAAAAGTGTTCAATTTAGCCCACCCTGTACAGAATGCAAAGTAATATGTGATATCTTGTCTTTTTTTCAGAGTTTTGCATGTCATCGATGCCGCTGTCATTCATTTTGTACACTTCAAATCATTCCTATATTCAGTTGAATTTTACACTTCTTGATCTAGTCATATGTGTCATCAAAAGTCATCCAGAAGTAATTAGGTACCGAAATTCATAATATACAGTATACACACACTGGCACAATTAGGGGAACGGGCAAAATTTACACTAAGTTTGACATCAGTTTTCTGATAATTGAAACGATTTCTCAACACCAAATTGGAGCCCAATCTATTCCGAATATTTTCGTTTTTTATTTATCTTGATATCTCAATTATTCAAGAAAATACAGAGTTTCAAAGGAAAGGTGGATATTGGTGTCAATTTTACACCTCAAAACTCAAATTGGATCTGAAAATGTGTCGTTTCTTGACTAACCTAACCTAACTATGACTAAACCTCTGCCATAGGAGACAGAAGCAGTAAAATCAAATTGTTCATTTTGTTCACCTCGGCGATATAGTCTTTCCCTGCCATTTATTGAATTGGTGCAGATGCGGCTCTCATATGTCGAAAGAACATTGGCCCACTGGTCATTTTCAATTAATGCTACAGCCCTCGCCACATCAGTAGGAGTCAAATCTCTCACGTTGAATTTTCATTAATCAAATTTATGAATGGTGAATCGCTTGACTTTGACAATGATTAATGACATTAACAAAAGAGCCAACGTTGATAACACGTTGGCTACCATATGAGTCTCATGTGATGCACACTCTCATTTGCTCTACAAACCACCGTAAAAAATCGCATACTTCCTCTCTGTACCAAGTGAAGAATCAAACTCAAAACGTAGCCTTTCGCTACAAGATGTCGCTATATTGTATTTTGAAGCAGATGCCTTCATCTCGATAGAGTTTGCTGAAAGATCACCGGTGATTCACATGGTACATAAATAAACCATTTCATCATAGGGAACTCCTTATATTTTGTTGTTTCTTCTTCGATTATAAGCGCCTTTATTCAAACCTTCATGAGAAAATAATGGACAATTAAGACGAAAAACGTATTTCGAGGAGTACGCAAAAATTCAAAGATGGCAGCAAAACATACAAAATTGGTAACCACCTTATACGCGGAATGCCCCGAGAAACCTTCATACTGTTTGGACTGTTTTCAAAAAAAAAAACATTAGTATTTTCTTTGTACAATGATTATTGATGAGATTATTTTTTACTTATGAGTGTAACAATTTCAATAAAAAATTGACAAGAGAGTGAGCGGTGCGTCTTTTCATCGGAATAATCCAGTCAATTTCTATAGGCAATTTCCAGATCTATGTGTATCACTGGTGATACCCACTTCAACCCGATATTATTTGGTTCATACCTGTACCATACCCACAATCTAATTCCTTCGTTTATACACTAGGCTTCTCTACAAGCATTCAAATAATATGTGTTCATTATCACTGGTGATACATAAAGTACAGAAGTGAACTATGAAAAAGCATCACCGGTGATACATATGGTACCCTGGGTCAGAATCAAAAATAGCATTTCACCAAAAGAACATTGGAGCAACTTTTATCACCCCTGCATATTCATGAGAGTATTCGTATATGTTAAACAGTTAACCGATAGGTAAAACTGTGAACAATTCTCATCTTGAAGTAAAAATCCTCGCAGAAACAAGTTGAAAAACGACACGTTCTCCCCAGTTCGAGTTTCGAGGTGGTAAAATTAATACCAATATCCACCTCTTCTTTGAAACTCTATATTTTCTTGGATAATTGGGATATCAAGATGAATAAAAAACGAAGATATTCGAGATAGATTGGGCTATAATTTGGTGTTGGAAAATCGTTTCAATTATCAGTGGTTCACTCCACAGGATGTCAAAGAATACCGAAAAATCCGTACTTTCTTTACACCCCTGTATATGATATAAAGACGAATCGTTTGGAGGTGGTTATTTCTCAGATGTATTCGTGAAGAATGAAGCTACAATTCGTGAAAAACAAATTTGAATCGAGTGATCGGTTCGAGAGAAAATTGATGTCAAACTTAGTGTACATTTCACCCGTTCCCCTAATTGTGCCAGTGTGTGTAGATATAAAAACACACCTAACTAGCTTTGCACTGACCCATCTTTCAGAATTGGTGTGATAAAATGATAATCGACATCAAACTTGAGAAACCTAACCCTACTTCCGGTAGTGTTTGTAGCGAAAATAAAAAGTCGATTCGTGTAAAAACAAAGGCCGCGTTTGACAAATCAAAACTGTCGCAATCGGATATTATACAGCTTTTCTAATTTTGAGCGATACCCCTGTTGTTCTTCCAACAGAGTTCGTCATCTGCAAAAAAAGGAAAATACGTGCATTAACTTAATTGTTGAAAGCTCAATCGATTGATCGTCTTTATCACTTCCAGAAAACATTGTTCATAATTGGATATAAAAAAATATAATGAATCAGGAACAATGCGGATGTTCAATCAATAGGCAAGTGAACTGATAATGAATTCATTATTCCAGATTTTTAGGGATTTTCTCTCCTCGTTTCTATAAAATAAAAATATGAATATTATTTCAATATACGTGTAGTAGGGACAAATGAGATGATTTGCCCCAAAATGTCACTGCGTTCAAAGAATTTTCCTATCAGAGAGCCTAAAAGGAAAATTCAGTGACAATATGTATTGAAAAGGGTTTCGAGGAGAGAAATAAAGGAATACCTATAGAAAAAATATCAAATTTTCGCTTAGCTTTGGACGTTTCGGGAACGAATCTGCTCCCGTTTTCAACATAAAGAATGGATATTTGAATAGCAAATTCGTATTTGTCTTGATCAGATTCGTTCCCGAAACGTCCAAAGCTAAGTGAAAATTTGATATTTTTTCTATATACCTTTATTTCTCTTCTCCAAACCTTCTTCAATTGTCACTGACAAGCTAGTGAATTTTTCTATTAGGCTCTCGCATAGGAAAATTCTTTAAATGCAGTGACATTTTGGGACAAACCATTTGATTTGTCCTAACTGCACGAATAATGAATGTACCACCTCCTCGGTTAACCAACAGACAGTATTTGATAATGAATTATTGGGATTCAATTACTCCACTGTGTCGTTAGAAACCTAAATTAATTTTTGCAACACTTCTCACGCTTTTTTTAAGTAAATAATGTATCTATGCGTTGTTCGAAATTGTTGAATTTCAGAGCTCATTTCAAACGAACCTTCATGGCCGCTATTTGGCGATACGTCGAATAAATGGTGATATCAGTTTTTATGCTATTTCGTAATTGGTCAGATAATCTTCCATTCGAACATGAAGCAAGGTTGTCAAGTCACCACTTATAATCAAGTTATCAAGGATATGTCAGAGTTCTGTTGTTGAATAAAACATAATATGAGGAACCCATGATATTATAGTTCATTATTGACTTTTCAAGCAACCAGCATGTCAACATATTTCTTATTCTACATAACAGAATATCATGTAAATGTTGGAGACTTGGCAACATTGATGAATGCTGAGAACTGACAAGACCACGACCATAAGTCGTGCGCCGGGTTGTCACGTTCACCGATTCGAATGTCCTCTCTAGTGTGAAGAAATAAAATTATTAGCATATTAGCCACAAATCATAAAGGAACATTTTGAAACAATTGAAGTTTTCATTGCTAATTAGAAATATTACCAATACACAATTGTGAATTCTAGGAATTATTGAATAACAATATTCCTCAAGTTTACAATCGTATTTCAACACATGACAACTGTGCTATGGCAAATTAAAAAATCATGGCGTTAATTTTTACAGGCGGTTTGAAAATTACAGTAACATTACTAATGATTTAAGCACCTAAAAACCGACCGAAAAATTCTTAAAAAATATTAAATTGAAAGGTATTTGACTTATGATTTTATTCAAGAAATAAAAACATTGTTCACGCGCCTATTGTTATTTATAATCATCAAAAATACTTCAACTGATAAGCACCATAAGTGACATATTTCTCAACAGCAATGAGAGCAAAAATGCAATTCTACCGTAGAAGTGTACAGAGATAAACACACACGCATTGCAGGATCCAGGCAATGTTTGAGGGAGGGGGAGGGGGAGGGGCATAAAAAGTCAACGAGGAATCACGTCTTTTTTTTAGTATAGCAAAAGAGAAAGCAATTTTCATTGGTGCCTTCTGAAAACAATATTTTTTTCAGAAAGATTTATTCGAGTAAACATAAAATACCTGATATTCAGTTTCCTTTCAAGTATCAAAATTCCTGTTTAAAAAAAAAAAAAGTTCAAAATATTCGATATGTTTCATTTATATACAGGCTAACTGACAAAAACCACCCAAAGCCATATACAGGGTGAGTCAATAGTGTGTCCTCCTTCGATATTAGCCAAACCGTCAGGTATATAAAAAAACAGTTATTGAATTTTATGAGAGCTATCACCTAAAATTAATGATGGGTGTTTTAAAATGGGACACTATGTATATTATTGCATTTTGATTCTTTTTCTGAGGAGCTGATTTCATCACTGTATCACACTTGGAGTCTACAGAAATAAAGTGTTCAGAATCGAAAATTTTCAAATTTGGGATTGGTTTTGTGTCAGAACTATTCATTATTGGCCGAAACGGCTTACATGTCCCTATATCAACGTTTGATTTACTTTCTACTGAAATTTAATTTGGATCAAACACCTTATGGTCCTGCTGGCTTCCGCAATTAACCTATACATATTTCGTGAAACTGTAAGTTCACAATAGCTATTACTAATAATCAGTAGATAGAGAATATATTTCTCTTGTTAGTTGTTCCTATATGAATGAATAATTAATTGAACAAATCAATCAATTTCCTCTACGCTTGTAGAAAAAATATTGTTCCTAACTCATGCGGAAAGTGTCTTTCCCACACTCGACTGCTTGCCCAAACTCTGCTTCGCGTCGTTCCTGTCAACGGCAGTTGCGTGCGGGAAAGAATCACTATCCGCACTTGTTAGAAAAATTACTATTCCCATCAAAGAACAAAGGCTATTTTATCAATTGACTACTAAACCATCTAACCTCACCTTTAACCGCTCGCTCGACGATATCGGCAACGCCGCTCAGTAACTCAACAGGCCCCAGAACGACACCTAGGGCGTCGATTCGCGTCACCTTTTGCCGCCCTCCAGCGCGTACACGTTGACGCAACAGTCCGACGTTCCTGCGGCGAGAGCGACGCGATGCGGATGACAGTCGAGGCACGACACCGGGCCGATGCGGTGGCTCATGAAACCCTCGTAGATGCGGATGGTGTTGATCAAGGTGCCTTTGAGTTTGTACATGTTGATGAATTGATTGGCGGAACCGCTGGAAAGAGGATAGAAGTCCCTTAAATGCGGTGTTTTTCCAAAGCTTGAAAGAATATGTCGATCAGCTTACGAGAGAAACAGTTTTACGGAGCTAGTTCGATAACCCTGGGGCAGATTTTCATGACATTTCGACAGAACATAACTCTTATCATAATAAAACTCTAGATTTTTTTTCATTTCGAAAAACAAACAGGAACACCCTGTTTAAGAGGCAAGAAATTGGGCCGGTGCGGTGGCTCATGAAACCCTCGTAGATGCAGATGGTGTTGATCAAGGTGCCTTTGAGTTTGTACATGTTGATGAATTGATTGGCAGAACTGCTGGAAAGACGGTGGAAGTTCCTTTAATGCGGTATTTTTCCAAAGATTGAAAGAATATGTCGATCAGTTTACGAGGCAAACAGTTTTACGGAGCTAGTTCGATAACCCTGAGGCAAATTTTCATGACATTTTGACAGAATATGACTCTTATCACAATTAAACTCTAGAATCTTTTTCATTACGGAAACGAAGAGAAACACCCTGTTTAAGAAGCAAGAAACTGGGTCGATACGGTGGCTCATGAAACCCTCGTAGATGCGGATGGTGTTGATCAAGGTGCCTTTGAGTTTGTACATGTTGATGAATTGATTGGCGGAACCGCTGGAAAGATGATGGAAGTTCCTCGACTGCAGTATTTTTCCAAAGATTGAGAGAATATGTCGATCAGTTTACGAGAGAAACAGTTTTACGGAGCTAGCTCGATAACCCTGAGGCAAATTTTCATGACATTCTGACAGAACATAACTCTTATCATAATAAAACTCTAGATTTTTTTTCATTTCGAAAAACAAACAGAAACGCCCTGTTTTAGAGGCAAGAAACTGGGCCGATGCGGTGGCTCATGAAACTCTCGTAGATGCGGATGGTGTTGATCAAGGTGCCTTTGAGTTTGTACATGTTGATGAATTGATTGGCGGAACCGCTGGAAAGAGGATAGAAGTCCCTTAAATGCGGTGTTTTTCCAAAGCTTGAAAGAATATGTCGATCAGCTTACGAGAGAAACAGTTTTACGGAGCTAGTTCGATAACCCTGGGGCAGATTTTCATGACATTTCGACAGAACATAACTCTTATCATAATAAAACTCTAGATTTTTTTTCATTTCGAAAAACAAACAGGAACACCCTGTTTAAGAGGCAAGAAATTGGGCCGGTGCGGTGGCTCATGAAACCCTCGTAGATGCAGATGGTGTTGATCAAGGTGCCTTTGAGTTTGTACATGTTGATGAATTGATTGGCAGAACTGCTGGAAAGACGGTGGAAGTTCCTTTAATGCGGTATTTTTCCAAAGATTGAAAGAATATGTCGATCAGCTTACGAGAGAAACAGTTTTACGGAGTTAGTTCGATAACCCTGAGGCAAATTTTCATGACATTTTGACAGAATATGACTTTTATCACAATTAAACTCTAGAATTTTTTTCATTACGGAAACGAAGAGAAACACCCTGTTTAAGAAGCAAGAAACTGGGCCGATGCGGTGGCTCATGAAACCCTCGTAGATGCGGATGGTGTTGATCAAGGTGCCTTTCAGTTTGTACATGTTGATGAATTGATTGGCAGAACCGCTGGAAAGAGGATAGAAGTCCCTTAAATGCGGTGTTTTTCCAAAGCTTGAAAGAATATGTCGATCAGCTTACGAGAGAAACAGTTTTACGGAGCTAGTTCGATAACCCTGAGGCAAATTTTCATGACATTTTGACAGAATATGACTCTTATCACAATTAAACTCTAGAATTTTTTTCATTACGGAAACGAAGAGAAACACCCTGTTTAAGAAGCAAGAAACTGGGTCGATACGGTGGCTCATGAAACCCTCGTAGATGCGGATGGTGTTGATCAAGGTGCCTTTCAGTTTGTACATGTTGATGAATTGATTGGCAGAACCGCTGGAAAGATGATGGAAGTTCCTCAACTGCAGTATTTTTCCAAAGATTGAGAGAATATGTCGATCAGTTTACGAGAGAAACAGTTTTACGGAGCTAGTTCGATAACCCTGAGGCAAATTTTCATGACATTTTGACAGAATATGACTCATCACAATTAAACTCTAGAATTTTTTTCATTACGGAAACGAAGAAAAACACCCTGCTTAAGAAGCAAGAAACTGGGTCGATACGGTGGCTCATGAAACCCTCGTAGATGCGGATGGTGTTGATCAAGGTGCCTTTGAGTTTGTACATGTTGATGAATTGATTGGCAGAACCGCTGGAAAGAGGATGGAAGTTCCTTAAATGCGGTGTTTTTCCAAAGCTTGAAAGAATATGTCGATCAGCTCACGAGAGAAACAGTTTTACGGAGCTAGTTCGATAACCTTGAGGCAAATTTTCATGAAATTTTGACAGAACATAACTCTTATCATAATAAAACTCTAGATTTTATTTCATTTCGAAAAACAAACAGGAACACCGTTTTGGAGGCAAGAAACTGGGCCGATGCGGTGGCTCATGAAACTCTCGTAGATGCGGATGGTGTTGATCAAGGTGCCTTTGAGATTGTACATGTTGATGAATTGATTGGCGGAACCGCTGGAAAAAGGATGGAAGTTCCTTATATGCGATGTTTTTTTCTCAAATTTAAAAAGGATCTGTCAATCAGTTTATGAACAAACTAGTTTTTTGGAGCTATCTCGACAACTTTACGGCTCATTTTCACGAAATTTTGACAGGACGTCACTCTTATCATAATAAAACTCTAGTTTTTTTTTCATTTCGAAAAACAAACAGGAACACCGTTTTGGAGGCAAGAAACTGGGCCGATGCGGTGGCTCATGAAACCCTCATAGATGCGGATGGTGTTGATCAAGGTGCCTTTGAGTTTGTACATGTTGATGAATTGATTGGCAGAACCGCTGGAAAGAGGATAGAAGTCCCTTAAATGCGGTGTTTTTCCAAAGCTTGAAAGAATGTGTCGATCAGCTTACGAGAGAAACAGTTTTACGGAGCTAGTTCGATAACCCTGAGGCAAATTTTCATGACATTCTGACAGAACATAACTCTTATCATAATAAAACTCTAGATTTTTTTTCATTTCGAAAAACAAACAGGAACACCCTGTTTTAGAGGCAAGAAACTGGGCCGATACGGTGGCTCATGAAACCCTCGTAGATGCGGATGGTGTTGATCAAGGTGCCTTTCAGTTTGTACATGTTGATGAATTGATTGGCGGAACCGCTGGAAAGATGATGGAAGTTCCTTAAATGCGGTATTTTTCCAAAGATTGAGAGAATATGTCGATCAGTTTACGAGAGAAACAGTTTTACGGAGCTAGTTCGATAACCTTGAGGCGAATTTTCATGAAATTTTGACAGAACATAACTCTTATCATAATAAAACTCTAGATTTTTTTTCATTTCGAAAAACAAACAGGAACACTCTGTTTTAGAGGCAAGAAACTGGGCCGATGCGGTGGCTCATGAAACTCTCGTAGATGCGGATGGTGTTGATCAAGGTGCCTTTGAGTTTGTACATGTTGATGAATTGTTTGGCAGAACCGCTGGAAAGAGGGTGGAAGTTTCTTGAATGCAGTATTTTTCCAAAACTTGAAAGAATATGTCAATCATTTTACGAGACAAACAGCTTTACGAAGCTAGTTCGATAACCTTGAGGCAAATTTTCAAGACATTTCGACAGAACATAACTCTTATCATGATAAAACTCTAGAATTTTTTCTCGTTTTGAAAAGCAAACAGGAACACCCTGTTTTAGAGGCAAGAAACTGGACCGATGCGGTGGCTCATGAAACTCTCGTAGATGCGGATGGTGTTGATCAAGGTGCCTTTGAGTTTGTACATGTTGATGAATTGATTGGCGGAACCGCTGGAAAGATGATGGAAGTTCCTCAACTGCAGTATTTTTCCAAAGATTGAAAGAATATGTCGATCAGCTTACGAGAGAAACAGTTTTACGGAGCTAGCTCGATAACCCTGAGGCAAATTTTCATGACATTCTGACAGAACATAACTCTTATCATAATAAAACTCTAGATTTTTTTTCATTTCGAAAAACAAACAGAAACGCCCTGTTTTAGAGGCAAGAAACTGGGTCGATACGGTGGCTCATGAAACCCTCGTAGATGCGGATGGTGTTGATCAAGGTGCCTTCGAGTTTGTACACGTTAATGAATTGGTTAGCGGAACCACCTCAAATGCGGTATTTTTTTCAATTTTTGTAAGAGAATGTCGATCAGTTCCTGAAAAAACAAGTTTTTTGAAGCTAGCTCGAGAAAACCACGACCAATTTTCACGAAATTGTTACAAAACATTACTTTTGTCATAACAAAACTCTAGTATTTTTTTCATTTCGGGAAAAGAAGAGAAACACCCTGTTTTCGAAACAAGAAACTGGACCGATGCGGTGGCCGATGAAACCCTCGTAAGATGCGAATATGTCGATCAAGGTGCATTTGAGTTTGTACCTGTTGAAGAATATTTATTTTTCCATTGAACAAACTGTCATATATTGAATATCACCGTTTCACCTGAATTGAAAAAATAGTGTAAATGTTGTAAAATCATTATCTAGAAAGGAATTTATTCTATAAATTGACTTACCATGCATAAATATTTGCACTACGATGGATGGCCAAACAAGACATTCCACAATTTTGAACGGCCTGATTCGTATGAATGGAGTCGTTTTTTCTAATATCGTATATTCGGACATCACCTGCAGTGCTGAAAAAAATAAACAAAATGAACAATCCAACAATGAATCACAAGATGATTATAGGATTTTTTCTAATTTTGACAAATTGACACTTTTAAAAACTGACGGACGTTTGAACGTTAATTCACGTAACCAGTTGAGTAAAGTGAAATATTACATAACTGGTTATGAAATTTTCAATTCAAAACTAGAGATCGACCGATACCGATATTTATATCGGCCTATCGGTGATATCGGCCTCATTGGCCGATTATCGTATCGGCCGATATCAAAAACCGATATAATTTTATTGGGGAAAAAAATCAATTTGAAAAATGAATGAAAAAAATACACTTCCAACAAAAATATATATTTATTAACAATAAAAAGTATGTAACGTAAAATCAACTAAATTCTTTGACTAGTAATTGAAAATTAATAAAATAAAACCCTATGCGGATTGCAACTGTAAGGTAACATTATTTCACTTTACTAAAATACAAAAATAACTGATTAATACTGATAAATTAGTTTTGGTAGGTTGTGATGCAAAAACAATAAGCTATTACCAGCTTCAGAGAAAACGTGTTAACGGCCAATAGACCGATATATCGGTATATCGGTATTTGAAATATCGGTATCGGCCGATTATCGGTATCGGCTAAAATTTCGATATCGGTCGATCCCTATTCAAAACCACTTTCGCAATAAAAATATGGATGTACGAAGAGACTAGAACATTTTGTGCTGCTTCCTCGATATAACTTGGGAAATAAACAAATCGAACGAGTCTATTTCGTAAATTATGTCGCTGATTTGTGACCATATTATTGTTTGACGGATACTTCAAAGTGACGGGCGAAGTCAACATGCCTACTAAATTTTGTGCATAATCGGTAGAGCTCATGTAGAACTGGTCTTCATTATTGTTCAAACAACATTTTTTATCTAAATTAGAGAAAAATAGTGTACGTAACAGGTTAGGAAAAGCATTTCTTGTAACTCTGTGTTTAGCGGGATCTCGTTTCGCTCGTCCAACTGGATACGTAAATTGATTGATTGTCTTATTTACCCCAAGAAACATAGGTGTTTATAATAGGGGTACATAAACAATATACATAATGTTATACATACAATTATGGAATGATGATAAGATATAACAAGTAAAAAAAATACAAATAATCATGCAATATCTACCTTGTCTTTTATAAGTAGGTATTCAAATAAGAAATGGAACTTACAAAGTCTCTGAAGCAGATATGTTTTCAAGTTTATTTTGAATCTAGTCGCTTCCTGTATATTCCTCAATTGACTTGGTAATGAGTTGTATAAAACGATTCCTGTGTGAAAAATGGATCTTTTGCCGATATTTGACTTATACGTATTTGCAATTAGTAAATTTGATTGTCTTGTTCCATGATTATGAAATGAATTAATTTCATTGAAATTTAAATTCGAAATTTTCAATTTATATAGGACATATTGAATGAAACAACATATTTTAAGTATGTATAGTCATGTCAGATCTAATAAATCTCTAGGTTTGTATAAATTCAAGGTTGGTTCTAGAACATTTAAATTGAAAATACAGTTCAATGTTTCATTTTGTAATTTCATCAGTGGACTCAAACGTGAAATATTGTGATATGGATATTAGGTAGGACCTTTTAGGTGGTCAATACCATTCAAGAAGCTCTTTTAAAATGTTTCCTATCGTTTTTCTTTTTTTTCTGATAGTGCTAAGACATTGTGCTTCGCTCACCCTGTACAATATATTGTGATATTTGAATGAAAATATATAATTTCCATTTTGTATTCATTTGACTGTAAGAATAAAAATGGAATTTCATTTTTAAGTCAATAAAAAAATCAATAATAATTTTTTAATGATAATCGATTGCGACATCTCTCTTTTTCCTATATGAATATTTTTATTTAATCACGTTTACTCTTAAATAAAAGCAAAAAACGAGAAAATATTTCAAATAATGCGAGCGCTTCCAATTAGCGAACATAAGATAGAGAGAGATAGGTATCCGTAAACACTGCGGGTTGCCTGAACAATATTATTGCCTCACTCGTCGTACACAGAGGGTCCCTTCCAGTTGTTTATATTGAGTTCATTGCTCCAGGGTCAGTCATCTGACAGATCTTGCACGCGACCCATGATTTCGTGTGCCGAGACATGAAAAAATGATTTATAAACGCTCGTTCTCTTATGGTTTGGCAGTCTGTATCAACAATCTGCACAGATTAGCTCTTCAATTTCACTGACACTGGTGGATGAACAGGGGTGGATTAGTCCACAACTGAACCAGTTATAGCCATTTATCCACTTGAATTCTGTTATATTACGTACCCTGTACTATTTATATATTTTGTGGATAATAAATGTATTATTGTATTATTATTATTATTATTATTATTATTTGCTTCAAAATCGTTTGTGGTTGTGTTTGATTGTCAGTGCTTGTCATATAGGTCGCGTGCAAGAACTGTCAGATGACCGACCCTGGAGGCAAAACATTGACACACAACGTCACTTTTCTTATTTGTTTACAAGTGATCGAAATAGTTTTTCACAATTATTTTGGCATATGAATCGTATTTTTCCGCTATTCATCAATTCGCTCATGCCATCGCATTGTGCTGTTGTAAAATGCACAAAAACTGCAGCGGAAGATGAAGTAATCCCGATGATACATTATGATTTAAAAGTAAGTACCTACTATAGTCACTCACATATAGTTTTCATTTTTGAAATTTGGTTATTTCTCTGATTTCTCATCGGAATTCCTCCTGCAATAGGAGCTAATAGAAATATACCTGAAATTTCTAGAATAATGCAAAGATTGGATTCATGCAATCAATCGGGAGGACTGGTCTGACATGCTGACGATCGTGTGTGTTGTAGACATTTTCAATCTATTAGCAGTATTAGCTTGTATTGCAGAAGTGGCAGAAGGCAGAAGGAATGACAACATTTCATAATGATAACTATGTGAGATTACTATTTACCTGAAAAATCATATTCCCTAGTCTCTTGCTGCATTTTTTGTGCATTGTACAACAGCACAATCCGAAGGCATGCTTGAATTAATGAATAGCGCAAAAAACACGATTCGTATGCCAAAATATTGTGAAAAACTATTTCAATCCTTTGATTCCTCTGTAACCAAGTGAAAAAGGGAGGTTGTGTTTCAATAATTCACAGAAGAATGAGGTTGTGTTTCAATATTTTGCCTCCAGGGTCGATCATCGTGCACGCGACCTATTCCGAATTCAACTGGTCAGTACTGTCAGTAGATCCACTTACTCTGCTGAAAAGCTGGTGTTCCGAAATATAAAATAAAAAATACAGTGCTGTAATTCGGAACACGTTTTCATCAGTAATCAGCAGCAGTTGATCAGCTGGTGAAATTTGTCAGTTGTCATTGATCTGGCAGATTCTCCTGCTTGAGCTAAATAAATAACATACATTTTCTGATATCAAAATGATATTATTAATGTATTATTGATAAGCCACGACTTAATGTTCGAAAAACAACGGAAATGAATGCGTCATTCCTTTCCCCTCAAAAATAACAACAGTTCACTGAAGCCACACCACCTTTTGATAGACAGCAATTTCAGCAGAATGTTGAGTCGAAATATTTGGAATGAATAGTATATCTGCTCACGGGTATCTGTCACTTTCAGTCAATTTTTTTGATTTCGGAATGAAAATTCAGCAGATTCAGTACTGTCAGTTGAATTCGGAATATAGCCTGTTATACAAAAAACGTCAAAATAGCAGTGTCAAGTACATTTAGGAACTCTACCCTCCACCTACCTTCCGCTGACTATGAGATTGTCCCTCAGCTGGATGCTGAGCACGCTGCCTGGATGCTCCAACCATACTTTGACTCGCGCCTCGTTCGGGCTGCATCGGCGATCGAACAACCTAACGGAGCCGTCTGCGCAGCCGATCGCGCACATGCCCAGCTTCGGGCCGGGGCACATCTGCACACGAGAATTTCATTTCATTTATACAGGGCACAGATTGACTAATCTTACAGATGTACAGTGTGTCCAGTTTTCGATGCTTTTGCATGATATCTCAGTTATCTTTGGAGAGAGAACCTTGCAGTTTTCGCGGTCCTGTGCCACTTTTTTGTGAAACTCAAGATGGCCTAATCAGATTTTGCAGGACTTGTAGCAAAACAGGTCTCTGTGCCACGATTTCGTGCATATTCCGCGCGCCTCGGAGAAGGACACTTCCTCGAGTGCTTACAGTCATCTCTTGATCCCTTCACCCGTCGGAAGATGGCGCACCCGGTACTGTTTCGGTGGATAATTAAAACTAATATTTTGGTAGGAACCACTTTTTTTGTTCTTTTGTTTTATCAGGAACCCTTATCGCAGTGAGTGAATGCATCAGACTAGCTTCTTCTATTTTAAACCACCAAAGAAGTAACACACGCAATACCTACTGATAATTTTTGATTTTTGCACTCATCTATTTTAGAGAGCCTATGTTGTGCATTTAAACTCTTCAATAAGTGTTCAAAGTGTCGGCTGGTCTCATTTACAGGTAAGGAAAACTAATATTGCCATCATTACCATATTTGTCCAATTTTGCTGTGAAATACCGCCATTATACGGGGTCGTGTTTTACATGGCTAACATGGCTTGTCAGAATGAATCCGGACACTCCGAGCGGGTGGTTGGGGAACATTTTTTTTGACGTAGGTGAACGTGTTTTTTATATCTTTGTTAAAAATGTATTTTAGTCTTGAAAATGTTCGTGGAGTCTGTTTCTTTTGTGGCCGCTTTACCCGCCTGTTAATATTTTGTGCTATACCTTCGCTACAATGTTTTTCATTTACAGGGTGTTAAAACACAAATTGCCTGCTACGTGAATCAAATAAAGTTTATACAAATCTGGGAACGTCTCGAGTACTCTCTTATTGAGGACACCTGTAACCCAAAAGCACCCCTGAGATTAACGAGTTTCAACTCAGACTGTTTCCGTTTATGAGATACAGGGCGATTTTGAAAATTTATACTTTTTGGGCCCCCTCTATATCTACGAAGTTTATCAGCGAAAATGTCAAATCAAAATCTTGACCCATAGAGAATTTTATGCAGAATCCAGTGGCGCACAAAAATTTTTTTTTCGGGGTGTGGTTTTGAAAATACGACTCAAACTTATGATTTTTCAAATTGAACACCCTGTATTTTATAGGCTCATTAAATTCCTTATTTTTTCCCTTCGAAATAATATATGATGTATGAATATAACATCTTCAAAAATGTTAAAAAATCACTAAAACATTGAATTTTAATAGTGGGCTATGGGTTTTTCGAGGGATTTTCATATAAAGAAATTTACAATTGAAGGAATATTTCCTTTGATTGTTCCATGAAGGGTGAAATAACAATTTCGACACTAATTAACTTGCAATACACAAGACTTAGATACCTGATATCCACAAATATATAGTAATGAAAAGTTTATAATGTAGAATAAGCACCTGATGGAATATTTACTAAAACAATTGAATTTCGAAATTATTCAGTGATTTATTCATTGAATTGTTCAAATTGATGTCCATTTTTCATCACAAACTTTCTCAATACATATTAATCATTGAAAGATGTCTTTGTAATTCCTGGAAAACTGCCTCTGTTGTTGCACAAAATTCTTCAAGTATGTTGGGCCACTCACTGTATTAAGTAGTATTGAGAAAGTTTGTCAATTGTATGTTGAGTAAAATGGATATTAATTCGAACATGTCAATCTATTTGTTGCTATCAGGTACCCAAGTTTAGTGTTTTGTTATTTAATAAGTGTTGATATTGGTTTTGACCTCTCCATGGAAAAATTTTAAAGAGATATTTCTTCAATTGGAACGCTTTTCATAAGAAAAATCCATAACAAACTATCAAAATTCAATATTTCAGTGATTTTGAGCAATTGTGAAAATTTTATATTCATTCGTTATATATTATTTTGAAAACAAAAAAATAAGGAATTTAATGAGCTTATGAAATACAGGGTGTTCCATTTAAAAAATCATAAGTTTGAGTCGTATCTCCAAAACCATACCCCGAAAAAAAAATTTAAGTGCGCCACTGGATTATGCGTGAAATTTTCTATGCGATAAGATTTTGATTTGACTTTTTCGTCGAGAAACCTCGTGGATATAGAGGGGGTCCAAAAAGTATGAATTTTCAAAATCGCCCTGTATCTCATAAACGGAAACAGTCTTGCAAAATCTGATTAGGCCATCTTGAGTTTCACAGAAAAGTGGCACAGGACCGCGAAAACCGCAAGGTTCTATCTCCAAAGATAACTGAGATATCAGGCAAAAGCATCGAAAACTGGACACACTGTACAAGGTGATCAATCAAGGATAGCGAGCGTCCATATCTCATAAGATATTGGTCGAATAGATTTGAGAAAACAAAATCATGATAAAAGTCGCCAAGATAAATTGCTGGAAATTATTGGTTCGAGTTTGTCAAACGTCCGGTAGAGGGCGTAACAACCAACACCAGTAGAAAAATGGGAATTTTATAGAATTTTGTCTAATGAAAGTATATCAATAATATCATTTTCATATTTAATGACCATTTCCCTACATTTTGTGTCTGAAACGTTTTGTTCTATCAAAATAAAGTGGTGGGGGAAGTTCAATTGTTTTTTTTTAAACGAACCAAGATTTCTCCAGCTTATTTCGACCGATTTTAGCAAACTTAGGCCCATATGAAAGAGCATAATTTACCCTACAAAACGCTCATTTGGTTTCGAATTCTTGACTTCTGCTGTCACCGCTAGATGGCGTTAACTGAAATGTTAGCAAGTTTTTGAGTTTTTTTCATATACAATACCACAAGTGATAATATTTTGCCGGAAATCTTCGGCGATTGTTACGACAGCTTGTTGCCTAGTAATTTCGTGACTGACATTGTTATCAAAACTACGAGCCGTAGGCGAGTAGTTTTGGATCAATGTCATGAGCGAAATTAGAGCAGCAAGCTGAAGTATGTCAATCGACGAATATTTCCAGGAAAAATAATATCACGAGTTGTATTCCTATGACTATTTCATGATTGAATGAGACAATATATATAAGAAATAGGAAACATAATTTAAGTATATTCCAACTCTAACTGCGAAGAAGAACATAATGATAGTAATGAAATACAGAATTTACTTTTTTAGAAATAAACTACCTACTTATAGATATTCACAAAGTGGAATGTACAATTTTGATGAACAGTATTTTTTTTATTATCTTGGAGATGGTTGCTCTCAAAAGAGTGTATACAATTACTATCCAATTCAAACAAAATGAATTGATGTGACATTAATTAAAAAAAAAATATCGTCGCCGAGGGCTCGAACCATCGATCTTCGTATCCTCGCGCAACAACCCTAACAGTTGCGCTACATCAGCTAGTAATTATATCAGTCAGTCACAATAACTTGAGTAATTGAAAAAGATTACTTCAAAAAGGAATTTGAATTCTATTATTGTTGTGTCAGACCGTCATCAAATATGCAAACTTTTTAAATTACACATGAAACGTCCAGCCAGAATAAAATTATCTCGCCTTTCGTACAAAATATCTCACTAACGCGAATTATAAGTAAATGAAATAAAGTAGGAACTTCAGATTTGAATCCAAAGCAATCTTGACCAGACACGATGTCAAAATTTTATCGCTGATAAACGAGGTTAGTTGGTCACGTGTGGGTCAATTCGGCTTCTGTATTGGTAGAGCAAGTCCGATAAAATTTAATAAACAAAAAATATCGCTAGAATACAGAAGAAACCATGAAAATGGTCGATTCTGATTGGTTCTCGAGATCAAGAGTGGAATAGTAAAAAAAAGAAAATTTAATGGTATTTTATTAGATTTTTACATGTTTCGAAAGAGGATAAATTTCTCTATAATTAAATGAAAATAGTTCATCATCTACCTTTTTTCGAACCGTTCGTATTGACCAAAATATAATTTTATTACTTTAAAAAATGGCTCGCCACTGTTTTTTATCAAAATAAAAATCAGTTTTGAAATCTCTTATTAGTTGCTAACAAAAAGTACCTATTGACTTTTTTTCGTTAGACAAATGGCTTTGGATTGAAAAAATAAAATAGGTTTACATGGGGCGCCCGTTCACAGAGGATCCTTTCCAGGCGTACCTCAGTGCTTCGATGCTTCAATATCGATTCACGTCGAGGTATCGATCGTGGGTTCGAGTCCCACGAACGCAGACTTTTTCTGATGGCCTAAGAAAGTGTTTGGGATCACACGTTAAAAGATAAGGCCACCGTCATTCCTTGCTCGCACAAGACTTTCGAAGACTTCTGAGGGTTGCTCGTAAGGGGGCAACCGAATGACGGATAGAACAATTTTACAACAATTTTAGAACAACAATTTAGGTGTTCATATTGAGTTCATTGTGTAATGGCCAACTCAGCTGATATTTGTTTTCGTATGTGGCGCTGTGTTGGCTTTTTGTAGCAGAGCTACCAACTAATAGAGTCACTAGATTAAATTTATCAAGTTACACATCTTGCATTGTGACGAAAGCACCATAGTCATCCCGCGCTTTTTTATTCAAAATTGTTTGAATTTGACAATAAACTTTATCAACGTCACAATTGAAATGGAATTTCGTGAACTATTGAGAAAGAAGCATGAATGAAAATGTCCTGTTGTGTTACGGTTTGCGGGAATTACGATGAAAATAATATCAACTATTCTCTTATGAATGGAATTGTATGAAACGGCCTGGCTGGATGGAAAATTAATTCGAAAACAACCAAAATTTGTGAGGTACATATGTACAGTATGATGCAAATGTATGGAATAAATTCATCTCAAAACAAGACGACTTCCGAAAAAAATCCAAAAACTAGACTTCAGAACTTTATTAATTGATGTATTTTTTTAAATAGACGACCCTTCGTTGTTCAATTCTCAGTAGCAGACCTCTGCAAGATTCAGTTAATCGAATGATAATCCATTTTAATCTCAATTTTCTTATGCAAAATTTTGACTGTTGAATAGACGATCAGTAGACCTTTCAAACGAGGTGTCACATGACCCCTGTTTTCATTTGAAAAAATCGTTCATTACGTCATTGCTCCAACCCCGGTGACGTAACATCTCTCATATGGATATCATGAGATGAGGCTTCAAAAATGAAACCTCACGTGTTTTTGGAATTTTTTCAAATGTCGCCCATTTCTGAAATAATGAATTTATTCCATACATTTGCATCATACTGTATATTAAGATTCACTTCTTATAACAGCAGATTAGAATGAAACTATATTTTGGGCCCATTTTCGGACAGACGATTTTAATAGGACAGTGCGAAAATTCATACAGTCTACTCCACCGACACTATACTTTAATGTAAGCAATTCATAGAAGGGGCATGTTTCGAAGCTTCAAAGCTTCATCATCAGCAATAAGTTACATACCACTGTTATGGAAGAAAAAAGTTGTGATCACATATTTATAAAAACAAAAATGAAAATTGTTACAACATTAATAAAACAGGGGACAGCAAAATGCGGATCACACGTTATAACATGCCAAAAGCTTATCAAGAAATATTATTATTATTAATATCACTTTATGTTCAATTTACCTGTATATTGTCGCGAATGAAGTCATCGCCGTTAATGGTTGAGAAATCGTAGTTTTTTCTATAGTTCTCGTGGCATATGCTGGAGAAAGTTGAGTCTATACAGGTAGCTGCTTTATCGGTACCTGTCAAAATATTATTGATCACTATCGATAACAATAATGATAATATAAATATAGGCTGTCCCATGAAAAAGAGACACTTGAGGTGATATCTTCGACTCACCCTATACACATCAATAGTGACTTACCAGTAGGAAGGTCCATAGCTCTCAATTCTCGTTCGGTATCCCAAAACCTTATATTTCTGGAATCACCGCACGTGATCAGAGTTTGGGTCCACTGCTCCCAAGTCATTAGTATGCCTAAGAAATGTCTTAATTACATTTTTTCTCAGAATATTCAAGGTTAAGGTAAGGTTTGGTTAGGTTTGGTCAGGTTATTATTGATTCACTATCTACTGACATTTAATTGGAACAAATAGAGAGTGATCAGAATTCTGAATCCTGAACCACCCTGTATTTGTTTCAATCAAATGTTAGTAGATAGGAAATTGAAAGTTGAGATAGGGACAAGTAAGCCGTTTTGACCAATTACGAATAGTTTCGGCAGAAAATAATCCTTAAGTTGAAAAACCTCGATTTTTCACACCGTATATCTCTGTAATCATTCCCGCTAGACCTCAAGTATGATATATTGATGAAATCAGCTCTTCAGCGAAAATCTGGACATGCAATGAAATACAAGATGTTATTTTTTTAATATCAAAGTAGCTACTAATTTTTGGTGAAAGCGGAAACACCGCATAATTGAAATTATTTTAGAAATACAGGGTGCGGCACCGAAAACGAAACAGATCGAATATCTTATAGACACATGTGTTGTGAAAAAAATGCAAAAACACGTCGATTTGTAAACCAAGGGGGACATCTTTCTACCATAACCTCAACTGTCATACCTCTCTCTCCTCCCCTTGGTCACTATCACCCATACAATTTAAATAGGGAAAGCACTAAGTGTGACACATCACTGAAAAGGTTATTTGATAAGGAATTCAGCCATGTGAGTGTTCGCTACGTAACTTTTTATTTTGGCGCCCTCTTGCGGGAAAAACAACTGTTCCGTATTCCAAAGTATGATACTTCATTTGAAAGCTACTTTGAACAATTCAGAAAAAAAGAATAAAAATTTAAAAAATGACAGTGTATGAACTTAAAAATTGGAAAGGCTTGCATAACTTTTACTCCAATCAATCCAAACTACAATAATTCACAATAGCTGCTCAAAGTGTTCTCCATTAACTGCCATACATGAGTATAAGTTAGTCTCGAAACGTTGTCTGACGTTTTGGAGCATTTCTGGAGTTATTTGACGACATTCGTACCTTTGAATAAAAATTGACTTACTACGCCTATGTTTTGGTACAATAAAAAACCTTTTGTTTCAGTGCTTAGTTGTGTCGGTTTATTGTCAATAGTACTTCAGGTATATTAACGAGTAAAACATAAAAATGGTTTATAGTATTCAGGATAGAGTAGAAATAATTGAATATTATTTGAAAAATAATGAATGTGCCAACACAGCCAGTAGAATGTTCAATGAGCAACACCCAAACAAAAACGTTAATCGTAAATACGTTTTGGAGCTGATTTCAAAATTTCGACGAACGGGATCTGTGGCAAATAAAAAACGTCAAATTGAAAAGCCAGTAAGAAATGAAGCAGTAGAGGTAGCCGTTTTAGGACAGGTTGTTGCGGATCAAACTCTTAGTACACGAAAGCTTGCCGTACTATCTGGAGTAAGTCAACGTACCGTCGAGCGAATTTTGAAAGCTCACAGATTCCATCCCTATAAAATTAAACTGGTTCAGGAACTTAACGAAGACGATTTTGATCGTCGCTTACAATTTTGTGAAATCATGAGTGAACGTGCTATACGAGATCCAAATTTCCTTTTCAACATTTGTTTTTCGGATGAATGCAGTTTTTATCGCAACGGGACTGTCAATCGTCATAATTGTCGGTATTGGTCAGATTCCAATCCAAGAGTGTTTCATCAAGTACATACTCAACACCCAGAAAAGTTAAACGTTTGGGCTGGAATATTTGGCGATCGTGTTATTGGTCCATTTTTTTTACCAGGTAATTTGACTGGGGACATGTATTTGGAATTACTCGAAGATACCGTTGATCCAACGTTAACAGACATAATAGAAAACGATAACCGATACCTTGAAGATCACCTAATATTCCAACAGGACGGAGCTCCTCCACATTTTGCTGCAGCAGTTCGTCAGTATCTGAATGAAAGATTTCCTAGACACTGGATTGGAAGAAGAGGATTCATTGAATGGCCCCCCCCGATCTCCCGATTTATCCCCCTTAGATTACTTTTTGTGGGGCCATTTAAAAAGTAAAATATACGCCACTCAGCCAGGTTCTTTAGACGAGTTACGTCATCGTATTATTACCGAATGTCGTCAAATAACTCCAGAAATGCTCCAAAACGTCAGACAACGTTTCGAGACTAACTTATACTCATGTATGGCAGTTAATGGAGAACACTTTGAGCAGCTATTGTGAATTATTGTAGTTTGGAATGATTGTAGTAAAATTTATGCAAGCCTTTCCAATTTTTAAGTTCATACACTGTCATTTTTTAAATTTTTATTCTTTTTTTCTGAATTGTTCAAAGTAGCTTTCAAATGAAGTATCATACTTTGGAATACGGAACAGTTGTTTTTCCCGCAAGAGGGCGCCAAAATAAAAAGTTACGCAGCGAACACTCACATGGCTGAATTCCTTATCAAATAACCTTTTCAGTGATGTGTCACACTTAGTACTTTCCCTATTTAAATTGTATGGGTGATAGTGACCAAGGGGAGGAGAGAGAGGTATGACAGTTGAGGTTATGGTAGAAAGATGTCCCCCTTGGTTTACAAATCGACGTGTTTTTGCATTTTTTTCACAACACATGTGTCTATAAGATATTCGATCTGTTTCGTTTTCGGTGCCGCACCCATAGAGCGGGTTCGTTTATGAAATCACATCATTTTTCAGAACGATCCATTTGTTGGTTCGCCAGGTACAGGGTGATTAACTAACGCTTTCAACACTCACTATCTCGAAAACAAAATCTTGAATTAGATGTTTTTTGTACTCCCATTCCATATACGGGGGCGTGTGAAAATGTTCAATTATTTCAAATGGAACACCCTATATTTTATTGCATATTTTGAAAGTGATTTTTGCTGAGTTCAAATATACATAATTTTCATACATTCCATTGAGTAATACTGGGCGAATCAAAGGAATATAACTTGAAATTCACATTGTGGTCGTGAGATCTTCTAATTTAATTCAAGCATGCTGTCAGGTCAAGTGACAATCGACTTTTGGACAATCTTCTGGTTGCAGCTCAACTTGAGTTGAATTCGATGATTTCATGACGAAAATTTCCATTGATCTCAAGTTTTAGTCCTTCAATTTACCCAGTATTTCTCCATGGAATGTATGACAACTAAACTGCGTGACTCAATTTTGAAATTAAATATAAAAAATACTAGTCCGATTCTGGAACGGTGTGTTCCATATTGTTTAATAATCATTCATGAATGAGATGGTCTACCTACTCCGGCCATGAAGTTTGTGTTTTCAGATATACAGGGAGAAACATAGACCCATTACACAAAAGAATATTTTCAAAGTTATCCCAATCATATGGAAAAATTTTGGGATTTTTTTCGAGAGCATATTATGAATGCTTGATGTGTTTTGCCGAAACGGTTTGGAGATTTTTCCGCTAGCATACTTCATCAACATGCAACATCTCTTTTTATGGAAAATTGACGTTTCTTGAAATGTCTTCAAGAGTTTGTTCATGAAATCAGTACAGGATGGGATTCATCAATGAAAATTCTTTGTAATTGAGCGAATACCGATCTACAGGGTAATTCGAGATTCTAAAAAACTTGAAATTCAGTTATACATATTGTGATTTCAACTTTGAATGCTCTATATATTGTTGTAGAATGATTTATATCATTCCTGTTATTATTTTTGATATACTGAAGACATGTTCAAGAATGATAACAGGAATGAGGAGCATTCAAAGTTCAAATCACAGTATGCACGACTGAATTTCACGTTTCTCTAGTATCTCGCATCACCCTGTAGATCGATATTCGCTCAATTCAAAGAAATCGAAGTGATGAATTCCTCTTTGGATCGATTTCATGGAAGAACTCTGTTATTTCATAAACAGATCAGCTGAAATTAAGGACATTTGAAAGAAACGTCAATTTTTCATAAAAAAAGATGTTGTTAATAAAGTATGCTAGCGAAAAATCTCGAAACCGTTTCGGCAAACCACATCAAGGATTCAAAATATGCCCTAGAAAATGATTCGAAAATTTTTCCATGATTGGGATAACTTTGAAAATATTCATTTTTGTAATGGGTCAATGTTTCACCCTGTGGATCTGAAAACAGGAACTTCATGGGTAGAGTAGGTAGACCATCTTATTCTTGAACGAATATTACACAACATGGAACGAACCGTTCCAGAATCGGACTAGTATTTTTTATAATATTTGATTTCAAAATTATGTGAAATATTCAGGTGAACCACTTTATTTGTCATGCAGTTTATATGTTTTTGTAAACAGCAATAATCACTTTTTCAAGACATGCGATAAAATATAGGGTATTCCTTTTGAGAAATTAAACATTTTCACTCCACCCCGTATATACAGGGTGGGCCACCAGTAACGCCTCGGTCTCTAGAAGGCTAACCACTTATCTTCTTGGAATTCTTCCTCTCTAGGAAGTTGCATGTCAACATAGGCTACCATTTAAAATTATTTCGAAACATACAGGGTGTCCCCAAAAAACATAAAACACTGAAGCCTATATATTATTTCATTTTGAGATTCTCCCTGATTAGCTGATTTCAACGACCCATCATACTTGGGGTCTAGCAGTTATAATTACTGAAATATAGGGTGTGAAAAATCGAGATTTTCCAAGTTCAAGAATTGTTTGTGTCGAAACTATTCATAATTGGTCAAAACGGCTTACATGTCCCTATCTCAACTTTTGATTAACTATCTACTGATATTTAATTGGGACATATACCGGGTGATCAAGATTCTGAATTCTGCACCACCCTGTATTTGTTTCAATTAAATGTCAGTAGATAGTTGATCAAAAGTTGACATAGGGACATGTGAGCCGTTTTGACCAATTATGAATGGTTTAGACACAAACAATTCTTGTACTTGGAAAATCTCGATTTCTCACACCCTATATCTCAGTAATTATAACTGCTAGACCCCAAGTATGATGGATTGTTGAAATCAGCTCACCAGGGAGAATCTCAAAATGAAATAATATACAGGGTGTTCGATTGAAAAAAGTTCAACTTCAGTGTTTTGTGATTTTTGGGGACATCCTGTATGTTTCAAAATAATTTCAAATGGTAGCCTATGTTGACATGCAACTTCCTAGAGAGGAAGAATTCCAAGAAGATAAGTGGTTAGCCTTCTAGAGACCGAGGCGTTACTGGTGGCCCACCCTGTAGAATAGGGATTAAATGTTTGAAGGGCATCATTCGGAAGAGAAAAACATCTGATTCGATATTTTGTTTTGGAGTTTTCAATATATTAATGAGTTTTCGAGATATTGAATGTTTAAAGCGTGAAATCCATAGTCAATCACCCGTGCGTCTAACGAACCGTTTCAATCAATCACCCTGTACATATTTTTAGAGACGAGAGAAAACCACAAAATTACGACAATTAATCAACCTTGCCGAGTTTCCAACACCTCTTCCTGTTCACTGGGAATCTTCAAAGAAAATTTCAAAGAAAACTTCAAAGAAAACAAAACAACTCACCGGAATTGTTGCCCTTGGAATCGGAGACCGCCTGCCAAGCGGTGACCAATTTAGGCTCACGACTGACGCCGACGTCGGGACGCCACAATCTGACGCCGCCGTCTTCGGCGCCTACCATAAGCATGCCGACGTCGTGGGCGTTGATCCACTCCAATGACGTCACTCTGCCGGAGCGCGAGGATTTTATTTGTCCGGATGTGGTTTTCGCTCCGGTGCCCCAGTCGAATATGCTGAAAAAATCAGTTCTTTCGACGATCGTACGAGAAGTTCAACTTTTTTGCACACTATATAGTATGCAAAATAGTTATCGTTCACCAAGGTAGTGTAGAATATCATTATTATTACCCTGGGACCAAGATTATATCCCGAGGAGCAGATTATATCTTGCAACAGCAAATAGTACGTTGAGCCCGTCCACACTTGAGAGACTAACTATACAGGGTAACTCACGGTCCATGGTACGTTAGACGTTTACGGAGAATGGGACATAGGATCATTCTGAAATTTTGGTTACTCACGTAGTTGCTCTTGGTCTATCGATCTAAAATATTTTCAGCTCTGCGGCGTTGCCGCTTCTATCGAAAAGTAGCAACAACTTTGTTATTTTAAATGGAACACCCTGTATTTTATTGCATTTTCAGATTCTCTCTGGAGAGCTGATTCCATCGATGTATCACACTTGGGGTCTAGCGGAAATGATTACAGAGATATAGGGTGTGAAAAATCGACATTTTTCAACTTTAGGAATTTTTTTTGTCGAAACTATTCATTATTGGTCAAAACGGCTCACATGTCCCTATCTCAACTTTTGATCAACTATCTACTGACATTTGATTGAAACAAATACAGGGTGGTGCAGAATTCAGAATCTTGATCACCCGGTATATGTCTCAATTAAATATCAGTAGATAGTTAATCAAAAGTTGAGATAGGGACATGTAAGCCGTTTTGACCAATTATGAATAGTTTCGACAAAAAAAATTCCTAAAGTTGAAAAATGTCGATTTTTCACACCCTATATCTCTCTAATCATTTCCGCTAGACCCCAAGTGTGATACATCGATGAAATCAGCTCTTCAGAGAGAATCTGAAAATGCAATAAAATACAGGGTGTTCCATTTAAAATAACAAAGTTGTTGCTACTTTTCGATAGAAGCGGCAACGCCGCAGAGCTGAAAATATTTTAGATCGATAGACCAAGAACAACTACGTGAGTAACCAAAATTTCAGAATGATCCTATGTCCCGTTCTCCATAAACGTCAAACGTACCATCGACCGTCAGTTACCCTGTATAGAGTGGCCGACAATAGACCTCAAAAATGGCTGCCGTTTCCGAAATGTCATACGTAGTCAAATCACAGAATAGCTAAACATCTGAGGGGTATCAACGTATCTCCTATGTAGTAATGAATTTGTGCCTTCGAAGTGTCCACCTGATGTAAGCTTTAGATATTTAATATTTTCATTTCATCATCTAAATAATCCGAAACTTACAAGTACCAAAAGACGGATTCTAATAGTTAATATAAAAGGTACTGACCTATAGAAGTTTCATGTCTGATTATTGGTGTGTGTGTGACATAGAATGCATAGTATGCTGGGAGAATACAAGACAGGCGGATGCATCCCCATATTTGAGGTGTGACCAATCAAAAAGTGCATCCTATTGTCACCACTCTATTTTATAAAGACACTCTAGTCTCCACCACACAAAATACTGACAGGGATACAGAAAGCTGATCTGATTTTGTGGTTATGTATGCTTCTATTTACCAGTTTTACTTCTATCGATTTTTGATCTCCATTTATTCGTAAGGATGAGTCTACAGTCTATAGTTTCTTTTGTTTGTGACTTTTCTGTCTGTTGTAATACCCAACAAATTTAGTTTGTAATATTATAATTACAAGGTTCCAAACATAACCTGAAGAATGAAACCACACAAACCTAAAAAATCTGAAAACTTCAACACTATGTGTATCGGTAACGAAGGGTTTGCGGACACACACTTATAGAAAAAAATAGTCTTATTTTGTCGTAGAATATAAGTCCCTGAAATATTGATATTGAGTTGTGAAACATCCTGTATAGATAGATCATGTTCGATTTGTTGAGCAGTTTATTTGATTCTCCAAATATTTATATGCATGAAACAAAAACACACGTGCATTTTTTTATGTTCTCGTTCCCACGAAAAGGGATATTCTGTGATGTTGAGAGAACATCGTGAGAAACAAGGGAAATAAGGTAGGAATTGGTGTTCTTCTTAAATTTCTCGAGGTAATATGCCTCGGGGAACACCTTCCTTGGCTATGTGTTCCAGAGCCTCGCTGTTCGTTGGATGAACGAGTCTTTGGAAACAGATGTTCTGCAGGTCTCCAAAGTGACCACGAAGGGGTGCGAAGCCTCAACTCGACGGGTTATTCTCGCGGGGATTGCCAAGGGAGGAATTGTTGATATTTCAGAAGAGCATTGTCCATGAAAATATCTATAAAATAGAGCCAGATCGCCAACTTTCCTACGGTGTTCCAGAGAAGTAAATGAGCTTGTGAGCGAGACATCACACACGCGACGAATTGATCTTTTTTTGACAGAATCCAACAGTTTCAGGGTATGTTTGGGTGCTGCACTCAAAATATGGGAACAGTATTCCAGGACAAGTCGGATCTGTGCCTTATAGATCATAAGCAGCTGATTGGAAGTGAAATAGCTCCTGGACAGAAACAGAAAACCAAGTTTTTGGGACGCACTTTTAGCAATTGATCTCACGTGAGTTTCCCAAGAAAGGTGTTTGCTGATAGTAATACCAAGCATCGAAATGGATGTCTTCAAAGGTATGGTTACTACTGACAAGCTTCTGTTGGGCACAGTGAGATCGGCCTTTCTAGAGAAGAGGCATGCTTGTGTTTTGTTTGCATTGAAATCTACCAAGTTATTGGATCATTCGAGAATAGTTGCCAAGTTTATATTTATGTTGTCAACATTTTTTCTTCGTTCGTTTCTGATTTGCCTGGCTGGTATTGGAGCCCTGGAAGAGAAGGCGGTATGGAGGGTACTATCATCCGCGAAGCTGTGTACTGGACATGAAGTTGCTTCCAACAGATCGTTGATATGGAGTAGAAATAGTGTTGGTGCTAGAATTGATCCTTGCGGAACACCAGCATTACCGATAGAAAAAAAGATTTTTTGTAATTCGCTAGATTCAATCAATATTTTCAACAGAAGGAACTATATTATCACAATTGAAACAGAAAACCCTACAAGTTTAGTTTGTAATATTGATTACAAGGTGCCCAACATAACCTAAAGAATGAAACCGAACAAACCCAAAAAATCTTTAAACTTCAATACTAAGTGTATCGGTAACGAAGCGGTTATGGACACACTGGAAAAAAAAGTCGTATATTGACCTAGAAAATAAGTCCCTGAAATCTTGAAGTCTTGAAACATCCTGTATAGATAGATTATGTTTAAATTGTTGAGCAGTCCTTGAAATCTTGAAGTCTTGAAACATCCTTTATAGATAGATTATGTTTGAATTGTTGAGCAGTTTATTTGATTCTCCAAATATTCATATGCATGAAACAAAAACACACGTGAATGACCCTGTATTTCATTTTACATTACATACATTGAATAAATTTCCACTTCTCGCTATGTATCGGCATATCCTTAGTCATAGATAAATGACTTGTTTGGTTTTTATCGGTTAGGTAGGTTACGTAACTGAAAATTAATCATCGAGGTGATGAATCGAAAGACAAGCATCAGTCTCACATTAAATTTCATCGAGTACGGTCGATTAAAGAGGTTAAAAAAAATCAAGCGACACAATGGAGTTACTCGTTCAATTTAGTGATTATATTAGTGCATTTGTGAGAGATGTTGTGTGTGTGTGTGTAGTGTGAAGTTTAAATGTTGTGTTGTGGAAAATTTTCTAACATTGCAAAGTGGACTATCTCGTTGAAAACTGTTCGTTTCAAGATGGTAAGTGTTTTTGCATTGTTTCATCATGCCTCACGTGATATACGCTGGGTCCAAGATAAGGATGTCTATCATTCGATCGTTTTTATTTTTTTTCTGGCGTTATTTGAAGAGATATAGGGAAACAAAATACACTTTTTTGTTGCCACTTTTTCAACTCTACAAAACAGCGTTGACAGATTTTCCGTGCGACGTTTCGTTTCGGAGAAACCATCATCAACTCTACCTCTTGATAGACTTCCCTAACTAGGATACCCCTTCTATATATGTATACAGGGTGTAACATAAGTACGTTGAAATATTCAAGTGGAGTGTTCCTGAGACAATTTCGAGAAAAACGTCTATATAAACTTTTGGCTGGAAATGCTTCATTTCGGGGATACAGGGTGTTGAAATACAGAGAACAAATCATTTTTCGATAAACATTTCATAAAAAAAAAAGTACTTTTTCTGCAACCGACACAAAAGTCGTCCATTTTAATACCAAAATTAGCTCTTGAATTGACGTTTCTATTACTGACACAAAAATGGGTTTGTTGCTAGGCAACACATTCAGTTCCCAAGAGCTAAAGTTGAACTTTATGATGTTATAGAGGTCAACAAGAATAAACAACATTGTTACGATTTGTTATTTGCGTTGGGACGCATACCTGTTTTTTTTTACGCATTCGGCAGATTTGGCATTCCATACCCATGCTGGAGATGTAAATATACCTTATTATAGTTGAGTATTTTTGTGTTGATCAGGGAAGCCTTCAAGATTCGCATACTTGCTTGATCTGTATTTCATTCGTTATTCTCGGGATGGATAACTTGTTTTTGAATAATCACGGCCAGCAATAGTTTTCTGTCTCAAACAACGATATTGTTCACCTCCATTTGAATATCAATACCGAATACAGTGGAGTATGGAGAGAAATAAATAATCGCTATCATTATGGTTGATATGCTCACTAACCTAACATTTTCCACGTCTTGTTCCAATACCTGGCACTGGCGCGGTATTTGCCATTAGAGCACCTGGTCCATACACAAATATGTCACTCTGTGGTTGTATTTATATTGAAACTAAAATTCGAGCATACTTGAAAATTGAATGAACCTGCTGTTAATGCAGGTAGAATATTCTAACCCCACGGATTATTTGTTGCATTGCATACATATGGCACGGCATTGGTGGTTACTTCACATATTTATTCGAGTTAATTGTTTCGGTTGCAGAAGAAATAGCATGTTTCCTTCGGATCAAAAGTGACTTTGACTCGCAAATATTGCTTTTGCTCGGCTTCGTTGAACGCTCCGTCTCGCAAATGCAAAATTCGCTTGTCATACATAGTGTTACTTTTGATCCTAATAAAACAATCTACTATTATTTCGACCTACCACATACTTAGTTTTGTGAAGTTCTCAGTAACTTTATACTTAGCGCCCTAGGAGCTAAGTAACATGCATCGATATAGAATATTGTAAATATCTCCAAAACGATCACCTCCAGAGTTTTGAGGAAGTGTACCTATTTAACTTGGAAAATATATGGAAATGAGGTTTTTCCATGAAAAGTACCAAAAGTTTACTGTCAAAAATGTTAGGGCAATTAGAAATACTTAAATAATGTCAACGTACCCAGCGACTTCTAGATGTTAAATGAAAATCAATACGAAAATATGATTTTTCACGTCAAGAAAACCCCGGATGCCATATTTCGAGCAAATAACTTGCGAAATTTATTTTCAAAAAGCGAACACACTTGAATATTTGAACGTACTTATATTACTTCAGTTTACTATATTATTATGAAGATGTGATAAATTGCTTAAATATTCGTAAATCATGATTTGTAGATCTCAAACAATGTGGAAAGATTCCTAGTTGCTTATTTATCGATTGAATAATATTTCCTTCATGCAGGTGATGAGACAAAAGCGTTATTAATTCACAACATAGGAGATTCAATGTCAAAATATTTCATGACCTAAAAGAAAGAAGCTATGATATGGTTATTTATTAGTGATTATTTCAGCTTTGTCAAAATATGTCTTATACTCCATAAAAAAACATATAAATGTTAGTTAGAGACTTGGCAACATTTGTTGAATACTGAGAACTGACAAGACAACGCCCATAATCCTTGCCATGTTGCCACGTTCACTGCACCGAACTGTGTGGAGTATGAATAAATATAATTATACTTATTATTTATACACCATTATTGATAGCACTAAGCACAAAAGAGGAAATATTTCAACGCAATGGATTTTAATGGCTAATTAAGAATATTACCAATACATAAATGAACATTTATGAATTCAAGTACCCAATCGTATTTCAACATATGGCAACTGTGCAATTATCTGCATCTACCTCGGCATCTACTTACGAAATCATGACGTCAGTTATGCGGTGAATTTCTAGCCGTTTGAAAATTACCCTGGTATTATTGATGATTTTAGAACCTTGAAATCTATCGAAAAAATCTTGAAAAATATGGAATTGAAAGGTAGTTGAGTGATGATTCTATTTGGAAAATGAAAGAAATATAGTCTACTTACCTATGGCAAATAATTTGCAACAAAAAAACATTTGACTGGTGACACAAATCTTTGTACAGGGTGCGCCTCTTAAAATGGAACCCCCCCTTAACTCTTTTGTTTTCGGAGATATGAAAAAATGTTAAATAAAAAAGTTGTTCGAAACGACCCAAACTTTTATTTCGTGAAGTTGTTTCATATACAGGGTCATTCGTTTTTCCAGAAAGGACATCAACTTTGATTTTTTCAATGGAACACCTTATATATTTTCCAACAAGTCGATAGATCTTTTTTTTCTGATTCCAAAAATATATATGAGTTGCATATTCGGATGAGAAATAATTGAGTTATTGATGATCAAAGTTGACCAGAATACCGCTTTATGAATCTTCACTTTATAGGTAATATCATCTAATGTAAGTTGAACATAGTGGGCTTTGAGATAATGTTTATAAATTGTTTGAGCTCCATGTTTATCATGAATTTGAAAACGTTCGATTTCTATAGAAAAAAAAAAAAAAATAGGTTACAGTTTGAATGAAAGATGCGAAATTTTGGAAATATACATTTCTTGCGGGAAAAATGCAACCGCTGCTCGTAGAGAATATGCGCATCGGTTTGGTTATCGTCCACTTCCATCATTGAATACCTTCAAGAGGATCTTCGAAAAGTTCAGACGAGATAGTGTTAATTTGGGTGATATGAAGAGGAATCGGCAAAAAACGGTACTCATAGAAGAGACAGGGGAAAATATATTACTTTATTTCATTGAAGACCCTAGTCGTTCGACAAGAATGGCTGCAAATTACTTCAATATATCCACGACAAGTGTGGGACGAGTTTTGAAGAAGCATCATATGAAGCCATATAAAGTAATGCCAGTGAATTATTTGTTTCCTCAAGGTCATCCAAATCGTTTACGATTTTGTCATGAAATAATTGAGACATAATCGCGATGAAAATTTTACTAAGAACATTTTATTCACGGATGAGTGTTCCTTTTCAACTTCAGGAGTGTTTGATAGGAAAAATGAGCATAACTGGGCTACGGTTAATCCTAGAGTAATGAAACCGATTAAAAAACAAGGCCGGAAAAGTGTGAATGTCTGGTGCAGTGTTTATAACACTAAAGTAATCGGTACCATCTTCATTGATGGCAGTCTTACGGGGCAAAAATATTTGGATATGTTGCAAGGTGATATTGAGAACTTGCTTGATGAAGCAATCCCTTTGAATAGACGAAACCAATTGGTATGGCAGCAGGATGGTGCACCTCCTCACAATGGAATTGAAGTCACGAACTACCTCAATGCGAGTTATGACACTTGGATTGGAATGCGAGGACCAATATTTTACCCGCCCCGTAGCCCAGATCTGACGTCTTGTGATTTTTTCCTGTGGGGAGCGCTGAAAGACAAGATCTATAAACATGATATTCCAGATACTGACTTCTTGAAAAATAAAATAACAGAAGAAATTCAATTATTGAATAATGATCCAATATTATTCGAAAGGGTTCGCCAAAATTTTATAGCAAGGTGCCAACTCTGCATTGACCAGAATGGCGGAATTTTTGAAAATTTGTTGTAGATAGCTCTAATGTGTATTCACAATCTCATATAGTTCATTCAATAAATATTGTTTATAAAGATTCATTCAAGTTTTGTTGTCAAGAACTCTTGATGCTATTTCGACATCTACGCATACGTCACTGTTATAGTGATACCAAATCTATCCACATAATGATTTGTAGTTTATTGACTTTTCCATGGAATATTTTTTCAATGCCCACGTTGTTCAACTATGATATAAAGTGAGAATTCATGAAGTGGTTTTTTGGTCAGCTTTGATTATCAATAACTCAATTATTCTTCATCCGAATATGCAACTCATATATATTTTTGGAATCAGAAAAGAAAGCTCTATCGACATGTCGGAAAATATATAGAGTGTTCCATTGAAAAAATCAAAGTTGATGTTCTCTCTGGAAAGTTTGGGTCGTTTCAAACAACTTTTTTATTTAACATTTAACATCTGTACTGAGTCATTCAATCTCGATGTCTCGTATCAATCACGGGAAAGAATGTAAATTTGTTTGCAAAAGAAAAAAATATTAAAATTGTAAATATTATCAATGGAAACTTACGCGAAATTGTCATTTCCTGCTACGGCGATCTGCTGATCGAAAGGATGCAATTTGAGTAGACTAGGCGGCACTGCGGTTCGGATGTGGAAAACTTGCGATTCGATTTTGGAACCCAAAGCTTTCCGTTGTTCATCGCTGGCTTCCGTTCTAATATTATTGTTCCTAATAATAATAATAATTATGATAATTTATTGACACAGCGTTTATAGACACGTCACGATATGTGAGATCAGTTACCTACAAGACCGAAGTTCATAAAATTACCACAATAAAGTACATCAATTCAAATTCAAAATACAAATACATGCTCAAATTCTTTGGCGTTACCAAAATGAAACACCTTATCACAAAAAAAATAATGAATTCAGTGTTGAAATTTCACAAGTTTGACAATCATTAAAATCCAGAAAATATGTATGAACAAAGTCCATGACACTACAAAGGCCCACCTATTTTTCACAACTATTGAAAAGAAAAATGATAAATGTCATACAGTTTGTTTTTAATTAAAATATGCTTCATGAGCTCCTCAAATTTTTTATTGGCAATATCTTCCATTCAGATGAAAAATCGTAATCATTTCCAAGGAAGGCCCTTGAAATGCATATTCTTTTTAGAGCTTTTAAATAGAAACTTTTTGTAAAAAAACTTTTTTACTATTAATTTATCCATCAGTTCATACCTACCTCGTATGTCTCCAGTCTTTCTCGTAAAAAACTGCTGATTCAGTGTCATTCGAAATCTTGTCTTTCTTATTGGACTGCGCGAACCTTTTGGAAGACCACTCGATGAATTTCGTCCTGACCAACGGTTTGCGGCACAGCTGGACCTTGTCCTCGCTGTCTTCGACAATCGCATTCTTTTGCAATTTCCTGCTTCGATTCGATATCGCCGATCTAAAAGAAAGAACGAGTTCTATTATTTCGATTATTTTTTATACAGGATGTTTCAAAAAAACCTGACCTCCTTACTAGGGTAGGTAGAACACTGCAAAATAAGTTGGGTTTACTCAGTGAAAAAATTTCGTAACGGCATCCGTTATCAAAATACAAGGTGTTGAAAAAATTATTTGTTTACACATTTTTCAAGATTATGACGAAATTACTGACAACATTGTAGTGAAATTCTGTATGAATGTTTCTTGAAATCTGAGACATCGCATGCATTTGTTTTTATATCTGACTCTTATAGAGGGCGCTAGTTGCACGGTTCGCACCGAGTTGCTTAGAGCATAACTTTTTTGAGGTTAGATTTTTCAATCCAAATTTGATGTGAACTTGAACATCATTCAATTCCACACCAAAAAGGTACTCTTGGTAAAACTCGATACTGTGTTCCGTTTTCGAAATATTTCTATTCGAATGTGATGAACTAATAACTGTTACTGGTATGAAGCTATGTTATTAGAGTGAATATCATGAAAAATTATCACCTATTTATTTAAAACAGAAAACAACAATACATTTCTGATGATGAACTTATTAATTTAACAATGAATCGCAAGAATAACATCGAAACAGATTACACAATTTTGTTGTATCTTGAGCAGAAAGTCTATGCTACATAGGTAAATTCACGTCAAGAGTTGTAAGACATAATTGAACATCACTAAAATGACCTAACAGCTGATCCTCAACTGTTAAGAAGAATGATACATTCTTATGAAAAGAATATAGGATCGTGTTTTCTTCGAAACGTAGGACATTTTGAACACTTACTCTAACTGACTTAATATTTCATGTTTCAAGTCGAATATTCCTCAATTTCCTACTTATCATTCTTTGTTCCATCAATTACTTCAGCACTAGAATGATTTTATTGTTTTTGAATCTGAATAAATAGGTAACTGAACTCAATAAAATTCATTTTATACCAGCATCATTACTACTCCATTATTTTCAAATCGAAATATTCCGAAAACAGAACATATTATCGAGTTTCAACAAGAGTACCTTTTTGGTGTAAAATTGAATGATGTTCGAGTTCATATCATATTTGGATCGAAAAGAACCTCAAAAAAGTTATGATCTAAACTACTCGGTACGAACCCTGTAACTATGAGAGTCAGATATAAAAACAAACCCATGTGATGTGACAGATTTCAAGAAACAAAATGTCATTACAATGTTGCCAGTTGTTTCGACATAATCGTGAAAATGTGTAAAAAAATCAATTTTTCAACACCTTGTATCATGAAAACGAATGCCGTTACGACAGTTTTTCACTGAGCAAACCCAACTTATTCTGCAGTGTTCTACCTACTCTAGCAAGGGGGTTCGGTTTTTTTGAAACACCCTGTATATCTGAAAACCAATGGAACTTTCAATTTCTGTCACTCATATTGATTTTAGCCAATCCAGACATCATCATAGTGGGAATAATCTACTTTCATTATAGCCACGGGAATAATATGAAATATTTTGTTTTTGTTGATTGACAACGTATTTTATTGATTTGACACTTCTGTCATCGATATTTATAAAATTAGCAGAAATGTTTTATTACTAGTGATTATTCCACTACACGTTTTCGATTGGTTGAAATATCTGTGTTGATAATCGAAAACGTGATGGTTTCGTTTTTCTGTTTCGGCTGTTGGTAATTTTGCACTTATCATGCGATGGGTTTTTCTCAGAGAAATTTTTTTGTTACTTACGTATTTTTGTCTGAGAAACACGAATTTTATAATGAAGATTTGTACAAACCAATATTTATCAAGATATTTCACTATAAAGTTAGAAATTTCACCTTCTTTTCCGCCTGTCTTTTGGATCGCATTTAGAAAAATTCATACAGGGTGAGTCATGAGGAACTGTACATACTTCTACCACAAATAGAGGCCCTTGAGGGAAATACCTGATTACCTTCAGAAAGTGTCTTCTTCTCTTCTTTACCAATATACAGGGTGTTTCATAATTGAATGTCAATATTCAAGGAGACGATTTTTGGGCCCATTCTAAGAAGAAAGTTTCATATGAACGTAAGACCTAAACGTCCTAACTTTTGAGATACAGGGTGGTAAAGTTATCAAAAATTTATAGTTATTTATTATAAAAGGGAAAAAAGTAGCAGATTTTAGCTCCATGTTGTGTTGTCTTGACGCATAGCAGAGGGAGACAAAAACCACGAGCTAAAATCTAATATTTTTCCCGTGTATAATACACTATTTTTTTCTTTGACAGAAGAAAGGATGAATCAATATTGAGAAGATATTATATTATTTTGAAATCTGAAAATTATCGACGTGAAATTTTAAATTTTTAACAGTAGGGACACCTGCGTTGTAGGCATCTTTATCATTCTTTTGAAGTAATCAAATATCTGATGTCACTTCTGTCAGTCTAATTATGTGATTTGATTTAAAAAAATTGTGAATTTAGTGGTTGTTCAGTAATATACGTAACCGCGAAGTCAAATGGAAGATAAAAGGACTTGCAGTTCTTTCTCGGAGACGGTATTATTGACTCATTTTTCGGAACTATAGCACAACAAAAGCCATCAACAGTGTATATATATATGTGATATATATCCGGGAAAAAAGTACTCACATTTTCCCACGGTAAAAAAGGAATTTATGAAAAGTGACATTTTATAACCTGCCAACAGAGATGAAATGCCAAACTTTTTTCTCGTCACAGAAAAATAGTTTTTTATTTAGATCAGTTTGATATTTTTTGGATATTCGCAAAGGCGACATCATCTCCTTTCTAGCTTCATCAACTATATTCAATAAGGCAGTCGATGGGTATCGGAACTCTCCCAGATACCTTGAATATCCCTTGTACCAAATTAAAGTAGCCACAACAACCTTATCTTATATTCGGGTATCAGATTTACATGTACGATTCTCAAGATTTTGTGCATTGAATGAGATCCATATTTGATAACGTGTAACATTTTTGTATCTCGAATAAATCTTTAGGCGCACAATATTTGAATTTCGAAAGCACTATTAGATATTTACAAAATCCACAAGTGAAAACCTCAAAATTGGAAACATTCAAATTATTCGTACCTGCTCAAATTTTGCAAATCTCCGGTGGGATGAAGCGTGGGCGGACTTTCCCCTGTGAAATAATTGCCCTTGTTGGGACTGGGCGGCAGACTCAAGCTGGAATTGTTCATGCTGTTCGCTCGAGTGTCGGCCATGTCGCGTTGTTCCTGAAACAAAACAAGCTTTCATTAATATTGCAGCCCTAATTTTATGGAAAATAGGTGCATTTGCAAACGGCAGCTCTTCGTCAGTAGGCACTATGGGTTCGAGTTATCAAAATGAGTTAAGATAGCAAAAAATCAGTTATCTAGCAACCATAAGGTTAAGCAAAAAAGGATGGGGCGCCACCTTTTAATTCAAATGAAATGTTACCTGGAAAATTGAGCAACCAGATAATGAATACTATTAGTTGTTATCCCAGACTAAAAGACCTAAATTTAACTTAGAGATGTTGTGAGTTGGAGTGTCATGTCAATAAACGAATAAAACAGTCATATAAAATACCCAAATCATTTAATTATGATGATAGGACTCATATCACAGGTTTTGACAAAATATGCATAATAATATTTCTTATTAGATACCTATTTCCTGTTAAGAAACTACACTTAACTGTTGCCTGCTACTATGTGGATGAAAATATATATAAACCAACCTTATATTGTACTTGAAAACTCAAGAGCTTCTGTAAGGACGTTTTATAGTCATAGCAGATTTAAAAAAATATTAAATATGGAAGAATTCTACCAGCACATAGTATACTATGTGGAGGGGAGGTATGTACCTTTCATGTGTGATTTCATCAATTTATGACCTGACTATGATTTAAAAATGGTCCATTATACCGGGTGATTCAGTAAGGGTAGCGAGGTACCATATCTCAGGAACTAGAAGTCGTACGAGGTTGGGAAAAAAATTCTATCGAGGAAATCGACCAAGGGAAATTGCTGGAAATAGTTTTTTAGTTTCTATATCTACCGCTGGAGGGCGTAATTGCTATGGTCGTATGAAAAATTGATTTTTCCAGCGAATTTTTCAACATGAGCTGAGGAACAGAAGCTATCACGCTAATGCTGTTAAAATAGTGCATCTTTTTGTTCTCACACTTCTTTTCGTACGATGTGAAATAAGGGCGGTAGACGAGGTTGAACCTCTCCTGACTAAAATACCTATACCTTTGATTTGACTGAACGGAATTCAGCAAACTTGGTCTCATTCGAGAGAGTAATGTTTGTTGATTTAATTGAAGGAACATCAGTGTCATGCTGGTTCCAGCTGCACTCACTAGGGGGCCTAATTAAAACATTTCTGAATTTTTTGATTTTACCCCAAAATTTTGAATGGAATTTTGGATGCTAATAGAAAAATTAATTATTTCTTCAATAAATTCATTAATAGATATTCTCTAGGAGATAACTTTGAAACGAATGATGATATCAACATGCGGTTTGAATTAATTTCTTGCAAATTTCATTCACTTTCCGAAACTGATGAAATAATTATATCATTCCATTCAAAATTTTGTGGTAAAATCAAAAAATTCAGAAATCCTTTAATTAGGCCCCCTAGGGAGTGCAGCTGGAACCAGCATGACACTGGTGTTCCTTCAACCTCGTCTACCGCCCTTATTTCACATCGTACGAAAAGAAGTGTAGGAACAAAAAGATGCACTATTTTAACAGCATTAGCGTGATAGCTTCTATTCCTCAGCTGATGTTGAAAAATTCGCTGAAAAAATCAATTTTTTATACGACCATAGCAATAACGCCCTCCAGCGGTAGATATAGAAACTAAAAAACTATTTCTAGCAATTTCCCTTGGTCGATTTCCTTGATAGAATTTTTTTCTCAACCTCGTACGACTTCTAGTTCCTGAGATATGGTACCTCGCTACCCTTAATGAATCACCCGGTACACACTAGCAATGGGCATTATGAGTGAATAAAAATGAAAAATGAAAGTATTTTTTCATGTCAAAAACCTCTATGGTGTGTCCTAAACCAGTTATCCTTAATGAAAGGCTTCAGTGCCACCAGATGAAGCTGCTGAGAGCAAGGTTGGCGGAGAGCGGTGCTGACTTCACATCCATGGATGTCAGATGACATTGACAGAGTTGTCGTATTTCCACTTTGAAAATCCATCATATCAGGAAACAAGTAGGGGACGATAATATCCAGAGTCCAGATTCCAGACTACATATAGCCACCGAAGGCCTTGTAGAATTAATAACAGATCCTGGTAGAGCAATGACTCCTGGGAAGAATAGTGCTCCTGGTAGGATAACTCCCGTTTGTAGAACTCCCAGTAAAACCCTCAAATATTTCATGACAATGAGGTTCTGAATTTCTAGACTGCAGAGAGAAAAAACGTGGAAAAAATGCGAGACTCACCTTCTATGAAGGGTTGGGGATTGAAATGGCCTTAATGACGATGAAGGTAGACACGTGGCTGCCTGGATGATGAACCATGAAGATCCTGCCTCTTAAACGAAAACCAGAAAAAATCTGTAGAGTCCAGCAGTCCTTATAGATCAGCAACCAAATCCAGGATATCCTGATTGGATCAAGAACGCTAGGCGGTACAGGACTTCAGAAGCCGGTTCACACCCCAAAAATGGCACTTGACCAGCACGAAAAATTTTGTGAAGTGAGCTCCTCTCTCACTAGCCGAAGAACTCTAATCGATTTTGAGGGCAGACACAATAGATCTGAAAAGGTCGCAGTGTGGAGGCAGATAGCCCGAAGGCCCCATTCCAAATCTAATCTAATCTAATCCTCTCTCACGACCGGAAAGGAAATCCCTCCTCCAACATTCCAGAAACTTCGAGAACAAATTAACAGTTTCCGCTTTTCAAATTGGCGGAAAATTTGAATATCCAAAATAATGATGTTATCGCTACTCTATCCAGAGACTTGTTTCTTCCCAGATGTCTATCTGTACCGATCAGAATTGATGACTAAAATGACGTCACACCTTTGGTCCGTTTTCTTCACGAATACTCGGCTAAGTTGGTTCGGCGTTGAAGACACATCAATCCGAATTGGCGTTCGGCGCATGACAAGTTTGACACTGTTGACATGTCATGACCGACAGCTAATTGACGTAAAGCGAAATAACTGTTGAACAAAATCAAAACATCAACCTGAATTAATCAAATGCATCAATCACGAAAATAATGCCAAACGAAGTTAATTGATTCACAATGGTCAATTCCTAGTGGAACCATCCGCCTCATTATTCCTGGAAAATCCAATACCTATTGTCTTACTGTGATGGAGTTTCAAGTGGAAATAGCAGTGTGAAAAGTGAGCATGACAAAGTCTCTGAAATGGTATTTCATATTACTTAATATTATTCATCTCTTTCAGATAAGTTCCTGTAAAAACCATCCGAATCATCCTTCTACTTGGATCACAACAAAGCAGATATAGCAAGAGATATCAACGTAATTATTGAAATAGTATTTTTATTTTATATACAGTGTGAAATCTCAGGTGTGTATCCACATATCAGGTTTGAGAATAATTAAATATTATAAAGCAGATTGAGTTCAATTTATGTTATTGAAAAATGTTAACCATGACATTGTGACAAAATATCTTTCATTAATTCAAACCTCAATATATTTCAATTTCGAGATATAATACCAACAGAACCATGTTTTAGATGGAAGAAGCGACGTGTTATTAATCGACGAAAAAATTGCACAAAAGAGGAGACCAGACCAGAAACCAGCGACCGGTGATAAGTTTTTCATTCCTGTTACGAATTATATTCAATTCATTTCGAATATTTCTTCCAAATATTATATTTGTTCTGGAAGGCGATATATCATAGAAAATTTTTCGAGTCACCTCTATGTCTCAATGGAGACACGACAGGTACCCTTACGAGGGGAGAGTATCAACCCTTGGCATCGGTAAACCCTCGTTGCAACCGGGGTAGGCGCCTGATAGGTTAGGTATATACAGTGTTTCTCATTCAGGAGAAAGTTGTTGGCTATCTGTTTCGCTCATTTTTCGAGTAATAGATGTATATATCGCGTTTCAGCAACGGAATTTCGAGACAGTTTTCATATATATTTCAGTTCCTTACTGCATGTGACTTTCATAATTTTAATTCAAACTTTTTTTAAATTCGAGATTTAATTCCAACTAAATATGTTGTAGATCGAAGAAGAACCGTGCTATGAATAGCATCCAAGCCCAATGGAAGAATAGAACAGACGGGTCACCATTCTTGCATTTTGTCAATTCTGCATTGTAATAATATAACTTTTTTTTTATCGCTTGGAGCGCACGAAAGGGACTCCCTATAATGTTCAGAGAACATCGTGCGTTCCTAGGGAGGATAGGGACAGGAGGTAGGTATTGGAATTTTTTTTGAACTTTTGGAGATTATATGTTGATGGGAATACTTCCACAGGCAATGAATTCCAGAGCCTAGCCGTTCTATCGATGAAGGAGTCTTGATAAAGTGCTGTTCGATATCTTTCGAGGTTGACAAAGAAAGGATGTACTGACTGGGCTTGTCTAGTTCGTCTTATTGGTATTGCTAGTGAAGGGATGATAGCCGAGATTTCCGAAGAACATTTCCCGTGGAAGTATCGATAGAAAAGTGAAAGGTCGCCGACCTTTCTACGATGTTCCAATGATGTCAAAGAGTGAGTGAGTGTGGCGTCACCCACCAGGCGAATGGCTTTTCTCTGGATGGAATCTAAGAGCATCAGCGTATGTTTTGGTGCTGAACCCCATATGAATGAATGTAGAAGTAGCAGAGGAGATAAAGAGAAGGGAAGGAGGTGAAATATTTTTTCAAATTCTGTTTTCCAAACCGAAAGGCAGATACTTTGATGAATCAAGTTATGTTCATGATTCGAGTATATTAGTAGTCGAATTGTCACTAAGATAAACTCTGTTCAGTAGCCTACATTTTAGTAGGGGTGGTGGTGGTAGCATCATCTCCATCTCTTTTGAGTCACCTTTATGTCTCAATGGAGACCCGACAGGTAACAGAATTTGAAAATAGTTTTTCCATATGTTATACGAAAAATTCAACCATAAACGAAAGCATGTCACTAAAAAACTCACATGGAATGAGCATGTTGATCATACAGCCTCAAAACAGAGTTCATATTGCTTCATTATCAGGAACTTATGGAATACAGTATCGATCGACGTGCCCAAACTACTGTACTCTGGACTTATTCAGTAGTCCCTTTAATATGGTCTAGTTATCTGGGGAAAAACCCATAACTCTGGCCAACTATTTATTATTGAAAAAAATAAAAAATCATAAGATGCATGCTGAACTTGTCTAATAGAGAACCATGTAAAAACCACTTTGTTGAATTGGGTATTATGTCTTTACCAAGTTTGTATATTTACTCATTGATTGTTTACATTATTAATAAACAGGACACTTTAAAGACTAGAAAGGAGGTACACAGTCATAATACCCGACAGAAGGACGAAATCAATTTAGGTTTCTCCAGATTATCAATTGGACAGGAAAATCCCAATTATATGGGAATCCAATGCTATAATAAAATTTGCGCAATGAAGGAGTTCAGAGAATGTGAAACAACATTGCTCAAGAAATATCTCAAGAGTTTTTTGGTACAGAAATGCTATTACTCACTGCAGGAATTTCTGAATGATACCTCTGACTGAGATCATACACATTACAGATCATGAGAGTAGTAGGTAGTCTAATTTGCATTATATGCTAGACCACACTGTACAGAATAAGATCTGTTATTTTAATTAGCAAATGATGAAATCATTTTTAAAGAATGTGACATTGTAAGTGCGGATTTTATTTTATTTGTACATTATTTTATCATACGAACCAGGTTCATATTGAACCAATAAGTGAACTAGCTCATCTGTTTGTGACGTGTCCCATAATGTATTGTACTTACCTGTATTGTGACATTCAGTGAACAAAATAAAATTCTATTCTATTCTTTCAGTTTCTTATTCCATGTAACTGTCATGAATACCAACAGAACTATGTTTGTTTCACGTTTATCGTCATGCTTAGCGCAGAATGAACAAATAATTGTTATCAAAGATGGATGCTTCATTTTTACACTTCTTGGGGATAAGTGGCAGAACATTCTCTTCGATTTCACTTTCGTCTACATTTCGCATATATTTTCAAAGAAGAAATCTGATACAAACGAATATTGTTTGAATAATTCTGATACAAAATATGGAAATAACAGTTGACAGTTAATACAATTGACAGGCCAGACATGTGTCAAACTACTGAAGCTGTATTCAATGAATTGTGTTGCCATGGTAACGTGTTTAATATTCTGAATAAATCACAGATCGACAATCCGTGATTAATCGAGCATTTAGCGTGGTACATATTCGTAGGCTAAATGCCATTTTAGTTATGTGAGTAGAAAAATAATAAAAACCCCTAGCTACCTTAACGATGGCCCTTATGTGGCCGGTGACCTTGCAGCACATCTGCGCCACCTCGGGATAGGGATCCGTCTCGAGGACGGTCAAGGCCGCCCAAATCTTCATGTACACCGAGCCATAACCAATGGTCGACAGCGTGCTCAGGCTGCCGCTCGAATGGTTCTGTATCAGACCTTGTTGGCCGAGATTGTTGATCGCCGAGCTGGAAGCCACTCGTTTCATTCGTTCCAGCGAGTCGCTATCTCCGATTTTCAGTCGATCCCTGAAAATCAGCAAATTCAGAACTTTCTAGGATATTCTGGAATGCTAGAACATCCCTCTGGAGGTTCTAGTATGTTCCAGAATGTTTCGAAACATTTTAGGAGGTTCGAGGATGTCCCAGAATATTGAAGAATCCTCCAGAACTTCCTAAAATGTTTAAGAATATTCCACAATCGTCATGAGCTATGAAGGATAATCAATGAATATATTTTCCCTTGGTTTATTCAAAATTACAATACTTGATTTCAGTTTGGGGTACAGCTAGATTATCAATTATGAAGCCAATCAAAATCCTTCAAAACAAAGTTATTAAATGTATATACAAACTAGATTACTTGGAACCAACAAGAAATCTTTATAAACCTAGGCAATTAACTATCTCATTAATATTTGGGGATCTTGTTCCAAAAATAGTTTCAACAAAATTTCTGTTCTATATAAAAAGGCATTGAAAGTATTGTATCGTCTTCCATATGATACTCCAACGAATCAACTGTATAAGGAAACAAACACATTTTCTTTGGAAGAGCACTTTTTAATCAATACTCTCAAAATTTCCTATTATATCATCAACAGAAAGCTTAAATCAAATTTTATATTAATCAGGAATTCCGAAATTCATGATCATCACACTAGACAAACTTGTTTCATCTTGAAGCTGCAAATTCTAATCTTGGGCAAAAAAAGTTTACACATGAGGCAATTTCGAAATTCAATAAATTACCAGATGATATCAAAAACAGCCCAAATATTATGCAATTCAAAAATGAAGTTAAGAAATATATTTATATGCAAAGGAATGATCAAAGCTGAAAGACTATGAATTTCCTTTTTTTTTCACTGTTTTTATTTTTCCTCTTCTTGTTCACTATAATATGACTGTTATTTTGAGATATCTTAATGATATGTAAGTTTTGTTCACTATTTATAATTTCAATTATACAACAGTCGATAATACTTCATGAATGATCTTATACCAGGAATTACTGTCTGATCATTCATGTCATTCCTACTAGAAAATTATTTATACTTTATATATTATTTGTATGAAATGTATCAATGAAGAAGAGAATGTGATGCAATAACTGAAATAAATGAAATAAAAAAAAAATTACAAATTCAAAATATTAAATTTCATCCATTCCGTCAAATATAAATTATAAATATTCAAATCTGAATTTTGAAGTCAATAGTCATAAACACGAACACATAACCAGACAAAAAGAAATGTTAACTCTCATCAAAATTAAATCATATATGGGTAAAAGATCTATTTTATACAATGGAACAATTCTCTATAATGAATAACCTGCCAGACTGAAGAAAAAATTAAGTGTTGAGAAATTACGAAAAGAACTGAAAAAATACTTATGTCTTTGATTCTCTTATATCATCCTAAATCAATTCAAGAACTTATATTCAACAGTCTCTAGAAGAAACAACATTATATGTAGAGTCTGACCACGTTAACTTTGGGACAGCATGTGACGCAACGCATATGCATATTCAATGCATACGCGACCACGTGCTGTCCAAAGTTATCGTGGTCGGACTTCTACTATGTATAGGATTTAAAAATGATTATCAGATTATCTAATTATTTTTTTTTTTAGTTGCTCTTTCATAATTTTCCCTGCTATAAACATATATGTTTCTTGAAAATAATAAGAATTATTTATTATTAATATAAACAACTGGAAGAGACCCTCTGTGAACGACGAGTGAGGCAAAAATATTGTTCAGGCAACCCGCAGTGTTTACGGATACCTATCTCTCTCTATCTTATGTTCGCTAATGGGAAGCACTCGCATTATTTGAAATATTTTCTCGTTTTTTGCTTTTATTCAAGGGTAAACGTGATTAAATAAAAATATTCATATGGGAAAGAGGAAAATGTTGCAATCAATTATCATAAAAAAATTATTATTGATTTTTTTATTGACTCAAAAATGAAATTTCATTTTAATTCTTACAGGATTCGGAAGTCAAATGAATACAAAATTGAAATTATATATTTTCATTCAAATGTCACAATATATTGTACAGGTTGAGCGAAGCACAATGTCTTAGCGCTGTCAGAAGAAAAAGAAAAACGATAGGAAAAATTTGAAAAGAGGTTCTTGAATGGTATTGACTACCTATAAGGTCCATTTTGAGCATAATTTCCATAGGTTGCTATTTTACCATGAGGTCACTGCCTACAAACATATCCCTATTAGAAATTAAAAGAATACAATTCTCAATACAATATCCTTCTCCAATGGAACAGTTTGGGTTTCTTCATTGATGAACTTCGAAACTTGGGAGCTGGAAGTCATAGGTAAAGTCCATAATATGAGAAACATCTTCCTTAGGACCCAATGTTATGAACTTCCACAGATGCATCCTAAAAATGAATTACTAGCTAGTTTTTTCATTTTGAAGAGGTGCAAACATACTTTTTTTTTCATTATTAATCAACTAGGTACCTATGAGTTTTCTTATTATCCTTCAAGGATCAGTATTTTTTGGTAACAAATGCTTAGGAAATGGAAATATAGCGGGTTACAGCATCTGGTTTCAATAACCTCTAGCAGTACCTGGTATGTCTAAATAAATAATCAGTTGGCAGGAAATGCTCTCCACAAAGCTTGCTGGTTTAAGATGGAGTGCAACTCTCTCTATGAACTGCCTTGATCCATAATTCAAGAATGTCTGAATGGAAAACTGCAACAAATAATATTACTTAATACTTAATATGTTTATGGAAGAGTCATGGAAGTATTTAACTTTGACAAATAATATAGGTATAGTTTTTAACATATTCTGAGACTGGGAACATTGTACACCCAATTGATGATCATTTCAAGACCTATATTTTCCAAAAATCTGAACAATATTCAACTTACCCATGGAATGACAATTTCCTTTTGTCTTGCTCGTTCTTGCATCCAAAGGCGACACAATAAATCACCATTGTTTATCAAAACCTTCTCAACAATCAGTTCACAGTGTTCACACCAACAAATTCAGTCCTTTTGATAAAACAAAACACGCCAAATGAATAGATATTTCACATTAACAAAGACAATGAACTTATGTCTTCACTTCCTTGCCTGTTTAGACGAGAGAAAAAAATCTAAAGTACTTTAATTATTAGATAAAAGAAAACGTAAACACCAATCCACCATTAAACAACATGAGTAGGACAGAGACAGGTTACCGTAAATCATGCTATCTTTGTTGCAGCTGCCCCTGACACACTTTGTGCTATTCGAGAGAACGGCCGTCTCCCTTCCAGTTGTTTATATTGAGTTCATTGAGGATAATCCAGAATAGTCCAGAATATTCCAAGAGCCGACTGCAAATTTCGACCGTCATCTGAGACCGAAATACATGTAAAACATTGTATTTTATCGAACGACACCTGTGCCAATCACTATCCTGAGCAAAATGCGGTAATTTGCACTTAATCTCTCGATTTGATAACGAAATGAGAATTAGGCCATCCGATACCAATTGAATGATATAAACTGGTCAACATTGATAACCTCGTGGTCTGAAATGTAGCCTGAATTCAAAGTAGAATAACTCACGAATTTCCTTACCAATTTGAAATCGGTTTTCACCGATGATTAGCCTAATCTCTTAACAGTTCGTTGTGGCGATATGAAACTTCTGTAATTTCAGACAACATTGTTACAGGGTGATAATTGAATGGGTGTAGGTCGCCACTTTACCGTTTGAACAGATAATTTTTTTAATTGTTTTTCTCACCTGTATCCTCTTGATTGATGCTTTCTCTCGAAACGTTTCCGGAATTTCCGAATTCAGAGCTTGTTATGAATATTCATTCAAAATTATGCATTTTTTCGACGATTAATTGAATGAAATTGGAAGTTGGAATTTCTTTTTCGAAGAATCAACGTTGTATACCGGGTGGCTACGGAAGTATTGCCTACGGAATATCTCAGTTATTGTATGAAGTAGGTTTGTGAAATTTGAAGCGTCGATATAATGACATAAGAGCTAGAATTTGAGCATATTGACATGTCGAAGTTAACTTCCGGTCTGACCGGAAGTAACATCAACTTTCTTATTTTGAATGGAAACCCTATTTTTTTTCTTTTCGCTTTATTCAGCATTCAATTCCCTTTCTAATGACATATCACAAGTTGGTCTCTAACCAGAAACTATTTATTATTTTTAATTTTATTTTCGCGTATGGCGATGATCTGTTTTGTTATTTGAAGAATAATAATTGGATTTTTTGGTATTTCATTTCAAAAAATGACTTTTTATTATATCATTAGAAAGGAATGGTTATGCTGAATAGGACAGGCAAGAAAAAGTTGTATGTTCCGATTTGAGTTATGGACACAGAGTATTGTTTTTTTCCCAATTTCTCCAATATATTTTTTGGCGGCTTTTTATAACGCCGACGAATGAAAATAAAATATCACAGTAGTAGCAACTGTTATCAAGTGACGTATGGTTTCCATAGCCAACTTTTCAATTTTTGGCTTTCATTTTGCTTCCACGGCCTAGTCGGTGATTTTCAATAATAATTTTTTTCTGATCTAGTTTCTGGTTAGATACTAACTTGTGATATGTCATTAGAAAGGGAATTGAATGCTGAATGAAGCGAAAAGAAAAAAAAATAGGGTTTCCATTCAAAATAAGAAAGTTGATGTTACTTCCGGTCAGACCGGAAGTTCACTTCGACATGTCAATATGCTCAAATTCTAGCTCTTATGTCATTATATCGACGCTCCAAATTTCACAAACCTACTTCATACAATAACTGAGATATTCCGTAGGCAATACTTCCGTAGCCAGCCGGTATAGTCGTCGGATATGTGATTGTGTTCGAACACAGAGAATTCTGAAAAAGTCTATACAAAGTGATACAAGAAATACTGAACGATGGAATGGAGAATAACGTAGTCTTCAGCAGATGATACCTAATTTTCTCTGTGTTACTAGTGAAATAATGGAGTGTTACTTCGTCATGAGGATGTC